ATTAATTGTTTACTAGGCAGATATTTTCCAAAAACTCGGCGTGTTGCTGCGGGGTTGGAAAATTAAATATTCACTAATGCACCACCAAAAATTTTGACCATTTTACGCACTGATATTGATCATAAAGAAAAAGAAAAGCAGTTAAAAGACACCACACAGAAATGAAATGCTTCATATTAAAATTGTATGTTATACACATACACGCGATACAATTACAATAAAAGCCTAGGGACTTGGGAAGAGTGAGCATGTAGTCACGGACAATAGTAGTGAACGACAGACGTATCTGCGCACAGCTATTATGAATAACTTTCATAAATTTATTTTGTGTCCTAACATCAGCTATCATTAGAGCCCGTAGATCAAGGAAGGAATGCTATTCAATATATTTTCAAAACATGTATAATCGAACATAATCGAATATGTAAATTCATAATCGTATTTCATAAGCAATGGTTTATTGCTTACAGTTATAAACTAAATATCTTAGTGTATTCCGTCTTCCCAACTTCCTACCTGGCTACCTACAACAGTGGACCACTCATCCGATGTATCATTTATGTAGTTTAGTTTATATAGTAATTTTATTTATATATATATATGTAATATTGTATTATACATATACATAAACGTATCGGTGCATCGGTTTGTATCAACGAATTTCCATATACAGTGACATCTTTGATTCATAAAAATATTATTTTAAGTAATATTTTTTTTGAAGAATTGTCCCGTTCTTCTTACGTTTTTTCCCGGGTTTTCTCATATATTATCAAAACTGTTTGGAAAATCAAAAAATTACCGTCTCGAAGTAGAAAAAATTTCCATTCAGAAAAGGTCCCACTTACATATCGAAGCAAGATTTCTGGTAGACATTTTTTTCACAGTATATAAAAAAAATATTATAATAATAAACATCATTGTAAAACCAATACACTCAGAATCTAAAAAAGAACTGCAAAATATTGGTTTTAATATCTTAATTTATATCGATTTCCTAGTTATAGTTACGATATGAAGAGCACTATTATTAATCCTACAAAATACATACTATATTTACTATCTAATTACCAGTTTTTTTTTTTATTATCAATCTAAATACATAATATGTCATTTTAAATTTTAATATACCTACCTGTTGTAGATCAACACAAAACATTCCGTAATAAAATAGGGACCTATAAACTGCGAATCATATTAAAATCGTTATTACTTGTGTAGTTGAGTATATATACAAAATGTGTATAAATAAATAAGTGGTAGGTAATAAAAATTATTCTCATTAAACTTGTTGCAAACACGTTTTCAAATCCAATAGTTATGTAGATATTCTATAAGAACGACCAAACATGTTCGAAATTCAATAATTATACGTAACAAAACGACGGTAAAGATTATACTGTATAAAAATAATTTTAAAATAAAAATGAATAATAAAGCAGTTGATTTTAACATTATAAAATCGTATGAATAAAAAAATATAGGTATAATGTTTTATAATTGAATAATATCATACGGTTATTTTAGTTTTGTCGCTAGATAGCTCCACAATAAAGTATGCAATTATTTTGTACGTGAAAAAATTACAATAACATTGAAATAAGATAAAAAATACGACGGTAAAAAACTAGGTATAGTTGTATACTTATTATTTACATTATATTATGCGAGAAAAAAAACCTCAAAAAAAAAAAATCTAACCTATATTTTACAGTTTGGATAATATGTGGTAAAAAAAAAAAAAAAAAATAGTAATAATAATCGGATGACAATAAAATCATCGAACCGTGAAAAATAAAGTACCTAAATAACATGTTGAAACATATTGAAACATACAATCTATAGTTGCTAATGCTGGTATAGTAAGTAATTTTATCCAATCTTAGATATAAATAATACGATATGATTTGATTATTATTATTGAAAATTAATTACAGTACCTACTTGAAAAATAATATATTGAAATATAGTGCAGTATTCACAACAAATCGATAAATTATCAAAAATCGAAATTAAAAAAAAAAATTAAATAAATACAATACATTAGTGAAATGAAAAAAAAAAATGATATCCCCGTCGCATAATCATTTTCGCTAAATTACTAAACGAGCACAATTTGCAAAACAGGACTGACTTGTTACAAGATATTAATCATAATATAATTCATAATTCACACCTTGTAAAGTTGTAAGTATATTGCATAAGAAAGTATCGAATAATTTTCGGGCATAGGGCTATGGTTCTATATGGAGGGTGCAGCTAATCCCTCCAATCCCCCACCCCAATCACCGCACATGTTTGTTGGTTTAATGTTTAAAATACATTTTCTCGTAATAATAATAATAAGTAGTATTTTTTCTTCCTACCGCAACAGTATACAGTTACACATAATCGTATTAAAAACTACTTGTTAAATAATTAATATGCAGTCAAATATTATGCTTATGCGATGTGACGAAAAAGATTATCAATGCATCATGCATCAGCTCGCGTTAATTCACCGCGGTCTAGTGCCCTCATGTGCGCTTTAAAAACTAAACAAAATAATGTCCATGAAGTTACAACGGTATTTTTTAATTTATTTTTTTTTTATCTAAAACACATAGCAGCAGATTACAGCGAAAAAATAGTAAAATAATGTGTTTTTTTTTTTTTTACATTTATAACGAATATATAAAGTGGAAAATCCTGGTGTTAGATGAAAAGAAAATATGAATAAAATAAACGTTAAGACGTCGTCGTCGTCGTATTCTCGTGATCGGTGGCTACTTGTTATTTATCGTATTAATAATTTTTAACGGAAAAAAAATCGTTCGTTTATAGTAAAAGTATCGATAATTTCGTCAGAAATCGTATTAAACCGCTGCATAACGTGTTTTTACCAACGCACAAGTCGTGAAAAAAAAAAAAAATTTTTTGAAATTGTTGAAGAAGCGATAATATTGAGTATTTTACGGTAAAAAACAAAAAAAAAAAAAAAGACGTTCTAGGATAATAGGGGTGGGTGCAGCCACCGTTATAGGTAATTTAATGTATCTGCAACGATTATAACCATTGCTAACAAAAGAGCGATTCTGAGCTGAGTTCAGTTGATAAAGATGCTTTTTCAACAATATATATGTCATATAATGGTAAAATAATTAAATAAGCATTATATATATGATCTTTACTAATATTTGTTTAATGTATCGATTTCCTCGTTTTTCGTACATTTTTCCATTTTTCCTCAGTGTTTTTTTTTGGCATTTTTATTTGTTGATAAAACAATAGGAAAAACGACCCGGATTAATGTACCACCCCAGTGAAATTTCCTTTTACAAAAATTGCTATCATCATAAGTTAGAGCAAAATTGCTGGTGGAAATGTTGTCCACAGAAATAAAAAATCGTAATATTATACAAATATATTTCGTACATTTTTCCGTTTTTCATTCGTTGTTTTCAATATTTCGCATTTAATGAAAAAACTCTTGAGAAAATCGACTTCTCTAAAGTACTTTCTCACGCCGATTCCTTTTTCGGAAATGTGCTACACGTAAAAATCGAAGCAAGTTCACTGGTAGAAAAGTTGACCACAGGTAAAAAAAAAATAAACATCTTTGTAAAAACGTAATCTTCTTTGCTCCGCTTAGAATCTAAAATATGACGAGTGTACTCATAAGGTATTAAAACGAACATCCACCTTCTCTATCCGCCCCTTGAAATTTCGCTAAGTCACACCCACGTCTTCGTTAGTATCCGTCGATTGTTTATCTCTGAGAGAGAGCGAATTCGCACACCAAGGACAACCGATCGAAACGCTCCCTTTATATTATCTCGTGTTTCTTGTGAACAATAAAGATATAGCTGTACTATCCATGCATTATCCGTGTTTCAAGCAGGACGGGTACAGTTACTCCAAGGTTCATAAAGTGAGGCGCTATATCTATATAGTGACAAATGATAAACCGTCTCAGTTTAACGCCCTTTCGGGGACATCGTCTCGCATTCAATTGTTGTAGGAGTGGTTTATCCATTTCATCCGTGTTTCCGAAATGAAATCCCACCAATTCAGTATGTAATAATCTGCAAAAGCGGCGATTTTGTTTAAGTATTTTCAAAGACTTCGTTTTATAATTTAGGCACCTAGGGTACTGAGAATTGGAAATCCGACACGATTGTATCGGCATTAACAATACGGGCCAATATTTTTAATGTACCATTCGCTGGATAAACAATGAAACGAATAAATTAATTAAATTTGACGTTTTGGGTATACGTTAGCGCATTTGCATGAATATTACGGAACAGACAAACCTACACCTACGGTTTTTTTTTTTCTCCGGAATAGATAAATTACGTATACAAATACCTCACATGTGTAACTCGTTACACGGTAAAACGTTTAATCGTTAACACTTGGGCCGAAGTTCACGTTAATAATGTATTTATCACCTGTCCTATTTATATGATTTATCGTATTCTCGATTAAAAAATAATTATCGAATCGATTTGAGTGAATTTACACATTACCTAGTTGGACGGGCAGGTAGCTGCCTACTACGTGTAGGTAGGTACCTATTAATAAAATAAATAGTTTATAATATAATTGACCGATAATAATGGAAAATGTAAATGATAGATAACTGATTAACAATTGAACAACAACTAACCTACATACTTAAATACCTACTGACTAGCCTGCCGGGGCAAGACAAATATTTCGTAATAATGCCGATGCATTATTAACGTAGGACTATTGAAACAGGTGTTAGGTAATTAAAATATTATGTTGATTGCGTTAAATAAACGCATCATTTCAACCATAATATTATTATCATTATTGCACAATATTCCAAAGAGTTTCTTGTACCACGCCACAGACATAGATAATAATTTATTATCTACACTTGATATATCAGTGGTATCACGGCACCGCGCGTGGTATATTCAGTTATCTCCTTATCAGCAACGGCCGTGCAAATTGATTGTATCGTTATCGGTATTTTCGTTCGCCCCGTACGTTATCGTTTCGTTGTAAATGCCGTCCGTTTAATTTGTAGCTGCTCCGTACGCGTTTTTTATTCAACCGTGTCGTAATCATGGTGATTGGTTCGAAATTGTTTCAACGTCGGTTCTGGAGGTACGTACACTTTAATATTTTTTTTTTTTTTATATGCTTTTGTTCGTTTTTATCGGACGACACAAAACGTACCTACCACACAAATGTAATTTTCAATTTCAACAAACCCATAACGCATACCCCACGTGATCAAAAGTTTTAAGTTTGTAGCCGTCGGACTCTGCATAAATGACTATAATTCGATGGGTACCTATAGTGGCTAGTGCCCGGGCGTGATATCTTAAAAGACGCGTTATTTCGTCTGAAAAACTACGTAAATGTAGGCAGGTGAATGATAATAAAATGATTAGCGATTAAACGATTAAGTAGGTGCCCATCACCTAGTCGACTGTTAACGATTATCGTAAACGCATATTATATTTTTATTTCTTGTAAAAAATATAGGTACGCGTATAGTGTTATATTTCTGGTTCCGGCGAAGTCAGTGGGCCCGAGTCAGTTTTCGGCATCGTTCTTAGGTAATTTTTTGCTTTTTTTTTTATAATCGGTGTAAATTGCGCGAGTGTTTTTTTTTTTTTTAAATTTTCGAAATTTAATTCGCTCGTATTGAAAACTGGACAAAATTGACTTCCCCGGGACCAAAGATATTGTTATTATAAAAACGGATTTGATAATAATAAATAAATAGTATTATCTACGGTTTAGTAGGTTTTGTCTAAACCTACACGGAATCGTGCGATGATTATTTTATGCAACTAGAAAACGACTTGTCCGTAACGTGGAAATAACGTTAAACGCATAATATTGTTGGGCCGCTTTTTAATTGATAAAATTGTATTCCAATGCGCAGCGTTAACAAAACGAAACGACGTTAACTCGCCATTTCGTATTTCACGTTTTTCAAACGAAATTTAATAACGCGGCTTTTTACTGATATTCATGTGGTAGGTATTTTTCGAGATTCTGAGTGAAACGAGGAATATATTGGTTTTACAAAGATATTTATTTTCTAATTCCTAAGTAACACTACCGGGGGGGTAGGTAAAAAGTGAAAACGCGTAGAACGTCATCTTCGAACTTTTGTATTTGCCGGTTGGTACAGTAGGTAACAACACTACAATACCATATAATGACCTCATAATTTCGGCGTTATTATAGCGGATATCTAGTTTAATCTATGAATTGCGCGGGCGTCTTAAAAAAATGCAATGTAAAATGTAAAAAGTGTATGGCACACGCTAGATTACTTTTAGTTCGCCATTGACAGGGGCAACGTCGGGCGCGGGACAGCTAATATTAAAATATCTCCTAAAACTGTCGTTTAGACAGTTAAAATATGTCTCGACGTTGAACAAAATAACCACCGAAAATAAAAAATAGCCGATAAAATCCATGGACCTTACGTTTGTGGACGGAACAACCAGACCTGGCGCAGCAGGGTAGTGCAGCCATGACAAGTAAAATCGCAGTAATGCCCATTCTTTGGAACACGATTATTATTTCACGATAATCATTGTGATAATATTGGCGCGTGAAGACAACGGCCGAATTTCGTAACAAAATATATTGTGCATTTTTATGAATATACAATCCACACTATACCGTAGGTACTTCAAACAAACTACAGCGTGTTGCGTCTATTATGCATAAACGATCGTCAACGTTTTAACGGAGAACTAGAGATATTTAACGATACGTAAACTAAATTGAGTTGCATAAACGTTTTGTAAATTTTAACGGACCATTAGTTCAATCATCCGTTTTCGGCTTTATAAACGCTAGCGACTCATTAAAACGTGTTATCACTAGTCTGTTATCAGTTATCAATAATTTACCTATACACATAGCGATGTAAAAATAACATTGTTTATCTATCTCGATGCCTTTATAAAAACACCATAATATAATATTGTATTTATTTTATTACTGACTGACAGGCAGTTGGTTAAATCAATTAATCATTAGTATTATTTTCATAGCATTAATTATAGCAGTTTATTTACGATTCATCGACTAGTGATAGCGATGATGAATCTACAATAGAAGTTGTAGTACGTTTACCAAAACCAATGGGTGTTTCGAAATGGTTGTCATTAAAAATATATATATTTTTTTTTAATGAGATTGTAACAGGGTATCCCATTATATTATCTCCGGAGGTAATAAAGATAATCAAATTCTGTTGTTTTTTTTTTACGTATCACTCACCAGGATTAGAACTACACATTTTTATATTGCAATTAATTTTGGTGAAAAAACGTACAAAAAATAACTTTTTACTTATTATTTTTGAAAAATTTAAAGATAGCAATTTTAAAAAGTTTATTTTTCCGAAAATATTGACGTATCAACTTTTAATTGTTGATTATTATTGTTACGACTAATTAACTGTACAATTCTTTTCTCTAATTTTAAAAAAATATATTAAAAATCACGAATTTAATGAAAGTAAAAAGTTGTTTGTCAAAATTTTCAAAAAAATAAACTTTATAAAATGGATATTCTTAGATTTTTCAGAGTAAAGTAATTTTTTAAATATTTTTACCGAATTTTAGTATTTTATTTTGAATCGATTTTCTACTGGTCTGAACTCTCAGCTAGTTCCTTTTGTTTATATATTGGACGGACATACATATCACGAAGTATAGTCGAGGTCGTACAGAATGAGACATAAGTACTGAGAAAAAACAAATCTTTGACAAACTTCTAGCGACGATTCAAAATTATATCGGTTGAACTATTTTAGATTCTGAGTAGAGCGATTTTTTTTTCTTTGTAAACAAGTTTTCTACCAACAATTTTGCTCGTATTTTCGAGTATAACACTTTCTTTAAGGAAATCTAACTGAAGTGGTACTTTAGGGAGGTAGTTTTTTTTTTTTTTTCTTAATTGGTTTTATAATAATAGGGAAAAACCTAAAAAAAACACTGGAAAAGCGGGAAATAACGTAGAAAAAACGGAAAAATAGGTACAATATTAAACAAATAGTGTTAAAATAATAATAAAATAATGTTTAATACATATATAATTATATTTTACCATAATATGCCATATACCTATATTGTTGAACGCTATCAACCGAACTCCGCTCAGAATCGTTTTTTCGTCAGCAATGGTTAATATCGATGTGCTCAGAATAGATTCCTGCCTATGCCCTACCTTCCCAATTTCCCACCTAAAATAGTGGCTGTACTCGTCCTCATTATCCTAGGACGGCTTTTTTAAAAATCGCCCCACTTCATTAGGGGAAAAAATGAAAAAATAATATTTTTACTAACCGAAAAAGTGTTTATCAAGGGGAAAAATCAAATTTCAGAAAAAATAATACTAAAGATTTTTCACTCAAAATCTAAAAAATAAATATGTACACACATTTTGTTTTTAAATTTACAAATGCGAATAGATTGCCTGGGAATTAGATGTCAACGAATTCCTCTGTGAAAACATAACAGTAATTTTCGTTTTTAATTTAGTCAAATAACTGTTGGTCTTAGGTCTATTAGAGCCCGAGTAGCTATTATTAACTGTATTTGAAAATGCATTTTTGCTACGTCGGTTGTTATTTTTATGAATGCGATTTTAGAGTGTCATTTGCGTATAATCAAATGGGCGGTGACGTAAATCTTTGGAGCCAAAAGGAAGAAGGGGACTCAAGTAAATTTTCGGCATTTTTTTTTCAAATATAACTTTGTCTAATGTAATTTTATCTCTATTTTTTGCCGTTTAAATTGCACGAGCGTATGTATTTTCAAAATTAACGTGCAGTGCAGCGTATTAGTTTTTGTACAATAATTGTATGTAATCGTCACATTACGGCACGCGGACACACACATCGGTACGCAGAGTTCGGACAGACACTGGACCGTCGTCTCGAAACCACCGGGTAACGTGCAAAAACATTGCTTACGCTGAATAAGTGAAACCGGCTTAATTTTGATTATGAACTATTAATAGTTACGGTTATTTAAAAAAAAAAATGAAAAAAAAAAAGTAAAGTTTTTGTATCTTTTTTCACATCGAGCCGTATATTTTGAACAATACCTAAAAAACCCCGGGACATTCCCTCCGGAATACCGTTCTCCGTGTAATCGCATAATAGGCACCTCCACTTTTACCGTAAAATCAAAATCGAGTTGCATTGTTTCGCCGCGCGTTACCCCCGGCGGGCCAGACGACGCGGTCGTAATAAATAAACGTCCTCTTAAACGGCAATGATGAATAATCGCCGGCGAACGCATTACGCGTAACATGTTATTGGAACAACCATAATATTATAAACCGAGTTAATAAACTGTGTTCTTCGTTCTGTGTTCTGTGTTCTTCGCCGATTATATTTACCACCGACGACGACCCATAGCCAATAAGCCAATAGCTCCGCGCAACAATAATCGTTTTGTACGTTTGCGCGCGCGCGCAGAACGATCAAAATCGTTTCGACAATTTATCTACGTCAATAGTGATACCGCGTTATTCCGGTAACGCGATAGTAACGTTGTGATAATGTTATAAACGTTACGCTCGTCGGGTTCACAAAGTTATAATACGCGAAATATTATTTGCGGCTCGCCTCCGCCTCCTTCTGGCGAATTATTATTACCGTTTTTTTTCCGGTTTCGGCTGTGTACGGACGCACGTTGTAACATCGTAAAAAAAATGGATTTAAAACGGGTTTTTTTTTTTTTTTTCCTCGACCGGACTTGACGGTGGCGCGTAGGTTTTAATAAAGTATGCAGATTTTTGTCACGATTTTTGAAAGGTTGGTATGCGAAATGTAAATCTGTTCCGAGTTGAAAAAATAAATAAATATGATTTATGCAACGGGCAAATCACGACGGTAAAAAACGATCAGCGCCACCGCGTCGCCAGACACGTTAATTATTATTACGAGTGTTCGAGCAATAATATTGCGAGTACGTGAATATTTCGAAAACGACGAGCGGGGCGAACCGGGCGGAGGAATTCAATTGAACATTTTGACTTTTCGTCCGTATCGTTTGCCGCAGTTCAATTTATCATTTATAAATTATCGGATCGTTGAACTGGAAAATTTACGAAAATACGACCTCTCCGTCGCGTACCATTTGCGTTCAATGAGCTATTTATAAATAACGCGCACTGTTCGCTGTACGCTGTTTTCACAGTAATAAACACCAGACAATTAATATTATAAAACACTTTGTTTCCGTCGATTCTCAATCAAAAGTATGCCGTGGTTTAAAAACGGATTAGATTTTTGCAGTTATTCAACATGATATATTTATTCCGAATATCCGCGAATATTTAAATTCGAAATACTACCACCGAATCGATCGTTTGTAAATGCATTAAAAATAACAACATCAACGCGTTGAAGAAAAAGTTTAAAATTGAGCACACGAAAATAGTTTTATATTTAAATTTATTTGTTTTTCTAATAGGTCCCGTTATTTTATTTTTATTTTTCAAATACAGGTTTCCCAATACCTATAGTAAAAATAATATTTTTAACAATAGTAAAAAGGACGGAGTTACTTCACACGTGGGTGCAGCTACTGTTATAGGTGGGAAGTGGGGAAGGTAGGATAAAAAGAGGAATTTAATGTATATCTATAGTACCCGACTCAAATATATATGTAAACAACGATAAACCATTGCTAACGAAAAAACGATTCTGAGCGGAGTTCAGCTGATAGAGTTTCTTTGTCAACAATATGTATGTATATGCCGTATTATGGTATGATCACTACATGTGTGTTTCCATGACAACAATGATTGTTTAAAAAAGATTAAAATAATAAAAACTGTTGCCAATGAAAACCTTATATTTTTAATCTTTCAATCTTTTTTAACCTAAAGAACCAGGTTTTCCTCATTATCTCGAATATTAATGAAAATTTCAAAAATGACCGGTCTAAAGAACTATTCAGAGAACATTTCTTGTAGAAAAAGTGTTCACACACAAAAAAAAAAAATAAACTTCTAAAAATAAAAGTTCAAAATATTATTGACTTTAGTCGGATGGAATTGAGAAACTCGATAAATTCGATAAATAAATATTAATATATAAATTATATTAATTAAAATTAATATATAAATATTTATATAATGAAATAAATTTTAGATTCGGAGTGATGATGTGTGCATATACATATGCATATGTGTGTATATTGTTCAGCCTGCGAACAAAATATTTTAACAAATATTTTGCCTGCAGGCCTGCAGAAATCTCGCTCTGAATGTGTAAACACACTTCTCTTGGATGGCTTTTGATAATGTTGTCTAGTTGGTACAATGGCTCGTATTTTAATTTCTACTTTTATTTTTTTCAATAATTATTGGGAAAAGTTGGAAATACTTAAAATAAAAAAAAAAAATAAAAATAATGAGCATTCTTAATATTATATTGTACTCGCCCGATTATACCATAGGTGCAACTAGGAGGATGCTTGGGGATGCTTCAGTACTCCCAGACATTAATTTAGCATCCCAAGTTCAAAAACGACAAAAATTGAAAAATAGTGTGAAAAATAGTTGTTCTAGGATAATGGAGACGGGTGCAGTCACTGTTATAAGTAATTTAATGTATAATTGTAATTTGAATCAGTTTGGGCAGGTATTATAAGGAGATCATTTTTCGATTTTCCCATCAAATGTGAAAAACCGGGATAAAAGTAAGAAAAACGGGAAAATCTGTATAATATTATACAAATATTATTAAAGAAAATATCGAATTTTATCGAATGATTACAATAAACATACGGATAAGACCCGTGTGCAATTTTCCTCACCACCTTGGCTATCGACGAACGCCAATGAAATATTATTACGAGTATTTGGCGTTATTCGAAAAGCGTATGAGGTTTTGCACGAGGCGCGTTTTTTTTATAGTGGTGTCCCCGAGTAGGCCTAATCCACTGTATCGATTAACCTAACCTTACCTTAAACCCATAGAATTACACTCTATAATATAATTCGATCACCGAAACCCGATCCTCGTTCTTTGAAGTCATCCGCAGCTACCAGCAGTCTTGGCTCGAAGAGTTCGCGTGCAAATAAACCGGAAAAAAAAATGATTTACGAAAAGATAGAAAAAAAAAAAACCACTACTATTATACCGACAAAGAAAACTTAATAAACTATTGAAAAAGTTTAAAGGAATAATTATAAAACGATTCAGAAAAATAAAAATTTAAAAACCACAATGAATAAAACAGATTTAATTTACTAAGATTCGATGAAATATACGTACAATAAACAAAATTAATATTATTGCAAACATTATTAGCCAGCGCGTGGTTTTGTAATATTTATATTATCGTTCTAATAAACAAATAAATAGTATTTCAGTAAGCATACCCACAATTTTTGTTACTTTGGCACATTTTGGTACTAATAGTAATCGATACGAGTTTTCAGCAAAGCAAATTAAATAATATCCGTATACAATTGCGTTATTTTATGATTGATCGATTTTAAACAAATCTGAGCTTCACACGTACATAAAAATAAAAAGACGGACTTATACTTCGCATGTGGGTGCAACCACTGTTGTAGGTAGGAAGTTGGGAAGGTACGATACAGACGGAAATTTGTTGTATATCTGTAAACAACGATAAACTATTGCTAACGAAAAAATGATTCTGAGTGGAGTTCAGTTGAAAGTGATGCTTTGTCAATAATATATGTATATATTATATTAGTTGTACCTATGGATTTTACTGGTTATTGGCTTTTAACGATAGCATTCCCCAGATTTCACACTCGGTAATATTTTGTATGTGCAGCATTTTCGTGGGAAATTCGTGAATTTTCCAGTTAGTCGTCGGCATAAAACTAATACATTTCAAATAAATCGGTAAATAAATTAATGAATTCGGCATATTGGGAGATACAATGCATTCCATGAGACGCAAGACGGGACATCTGCCCTCCCCCTCTTGGATATCAAAATTTCAAATATAATTTTAATAATCAATTAAAATAATTTTATTTTAATTACTCTTCAGCGTTTGATTTTATTATGCCCCTCCCTGATAAATTTCCCGTGGATGCCCAACATGATGCAATCTATATAAATTTATATTTAATATTTTATTATACAGTTTATTACGAGTTAATCGTACGAGCTCACGTTTCTTTTCAAAAACTGCGGATCGATAGAAATAAAAATTATAGTTGCCTGTTGTATATATATATATGTACTGTATTATAATTTTATGATCCGCAATTGACAGTAAAATTAGGTATACGGTACACATAATTATTGAAAATTTACAAAGAAAGCGGTTTGTTTTTTTGGCAGTGTAAAAAAAATCCGTTAAAAAAAAAATTGCCTATTTATAATAAATGATATCAAATATTATAAGGCATATGCGACTTATTAAAAAAAAAAAAAAAACAGAACAAAACACAAAAAAAACAGTATGTATTTTCTATGTCGATGCAGTATCATCGTTGAATGTCAATAAAAGTAAATATTTTACACCGCAAAAATAAAAATTTCAAGAATGGCTTTCGGTATTACCGTATAATAATACGCGTATAGAAGAAAAAAAACACGTATAAAGTTTATTGCCGTCGTAGTTGTCCTGCAATAAATTTGCCTACACTTTTTTTTTTTTTTTTTACTGCTCACAAAAGAACCGCTACCCAGTTAAACGCGTTAATCGAGACCGATTTTAATTTTTTTTTTTTTTTAAAACACACAGTCATGGTCCATCATCGCTCAGTATTTACAGGTACACGGTATATATAAATTGCACTTAACAATTTTCCACACAATTACGTGCATATAATAAAATATAATAATGTACGGGTATATGTATTATATATATATACGTATAGATTCGATGAGGGCATCACCGTGAATCTCGTCGACGTTTTCCGATATTATACTCGTATTATTATTTCCAATTTGTCAACCGAAATGAGGTCGGTACCTATCAATAAAAAAATAACTCTGTATAGCGCGCAATCGTGAATTTTACCGCCAAAAAATCGACGTGACCCGTTCGCGCGCGTCTTAATTTACTCGTCGAGTTTTCTCCTTAAAATCGGGGTGACCGTACGGGCCCACAGATATTTAAGACATGGATGTGCCTTGCCTATACCTTATACACGAAGCGATGCGCGTCAGAAGAGAACGCTTGTTACCAATGTGGTTGACTGATATTTTTGATAATGTTACATGATAATAATTGAGTGTTTTATAATCATGAAAAGTAAAATACGCATTACACAATAATATTATTTTACATTATCTATTTACGTTATTAAGTTAAGCAGTAAGTAATAAGTATTATAATTTGCAAAATCAAATAATATAATTACACTTGCACGCTAATTTTTATTTCGTTTTGAGTATGAACCACAGTACAAACATTTTGAATATACCGTTTTTAGACTCTGACGAAGTGACGTGGTTAAAGAAACTAAATAATATTAATAATATATTAGAAACCTATTATTAAACCTATTAAAGAATAAGGGCATCATATTTATTATCTACTGCGAATCTTATGATCCATAGTGTCGATAACCACTGTTGGTAATCACTATACCATTAATGGTAACTAGCTTCAAGTAATCGTGAATACAATAGTATTCACGATCCATGTACGAGTCCCGTATTTCGACCTTGGGTCCCGTAAATGTATTCGATTTTTTTATGCCATTATTTAGTTTAACGCAAACGTACACATGAAAACGGCGGAAAAAGTAATTGACTGACCGCAGTGGTGCAACTGGGTGAGGGGAGGTATTTTGGGTTCCAGATACCCCCCCTACATACAAGCGTGTTCAAGTAAAATAAATCAGTTAAAAGACAAGTTGTTTTTCAATATAGGCATGTGACACCTCCCCTTCAAAAAATCTTGGTCACGTCACTGATGACCGACCGTCGTCGAAATAAAATTTGATGTTTTGGCGTACAACATACGTTTCTATTATTGTTATAATACAGGGTTTAACATTATCATATTTAAATATTTTTACTTATTGTACTTACCGCGTTTAATTCGCTTTTTATGGTCACTTTATACCGTAAATAGAGGCTGTAATATTTGTACTGCAGTATTATGTCTATTATTTTGTAAAATAAAAATGAAATTCCGTCTGTATGTCCACCCGCTGTATAAATCTACCACAGTTTTATTCCGATCTCGATGAAACTTTGCTCATTCGGCATTGGAAATAACAGGGACGCGCTGTCTAATTTTCGTCTTGAAATTCAACCCCTTAATTTTAAGGGCTTAAAACGATGGCTGACACCGTTGTTTTTGGTAATTTTTCTGGGAAAATAACAATTATTATATTTTTTTTTGATTTATGAGGTACCTTATTGACACGGATGAAAAATACTTATAATTATTTAATTTGATTGCTGCGTACAAGGACATGACAATTTTTTTTTAAAAATAAATTAGAACAACGATTAACTGTGTTAAGTATAAGGGTGGAAACGGGGAGACACTTCTAATCGAATTTCTTTTATTGATTTTTATTTTCGAAAGGATTAAATCCGAGAAATACTGGGTGATTTGACTAGTATATTTTATGATATTAGCTGTCCCACCCGGCCTTGCCCGTAGCAATTTTTTCTTTTTACCCATATTTCTTTTTAGTTTTGACCGTGTTAGTGATGAATAAAAACAAATAGGTGGAAAGTGGATATAATCCACCTTCGGTGGACTAAAAATTATTCTGTTATGATATTTATTTTTAAATTTTAAATTACTATTTGCCTAAGTGTCTCACCATCTGGGGCCAGTTCGAGTAATTTTTTTTTGCGTACAATTAACCATGGGAAAAACATTGGACGGTTAATTAGGTCTAAACCTGCAAATTTTAATGTTTGACCTTGTGCCTTATTGATGGTCATTGAAAAACATAATTTCACGAGAAATTGAAGCCGTTTAAACTGGAATGACAGATTCGTTTGTATCATTGGTATTCTAGCAACCAAAACCGTGTCTCCAGCTCCGCAGCCAGTAAGAATCATCATACACTCAAGCAGACAGTTTTTTAAAGGTTTTATTTGTAATCTTGTGCCGTTGCATAATTTTGGTGGACATAAGTTCTGGAGTAATATTATAGGAGAACCTACCTTTAGAATTAATCTATGCGGTGGAGTCCCTGGAGGGGTTAAAAAAATTTAAAAATTTAGTTAGATAATGTACCGCCTACTTTCTATCAATAACCGTATCAACTGAATAGGACTTTTTTATTGGTGCATTGAATCTTAACAGAGGCGTCGTTCAAAACCGCACACTTACCGTTCATACAAAATTTGGAAGGTCGATGTTTCAAAACCACACACATTTAATCGGCAGTGAAAAGCATTATAGGTGGAATTAGAGACCCAATGTGGTCACTAAGGTAACTCGCTCTCTGGGTTCACTCGGACAATTTTAATCGAAAATAACTCGATTTGTTTGACAAAACCACGTCCGATAGGACATAAAGTAAAATGCGTGCGGTATCATTTTGAAAAAACTATACATAAAAGTCTGCGGTTATGACGACCGCCGCTTAACAGTACCATGCAATTGATTTTATTGACTTGTTAGTTAATGACTCTTTCCTCTCCTGAAACCAACTCAAGGTCTTAGTAGATATGTCTGGATAAACATATAGTCTATAGTCTCGTTCAGCAGAAGTTTCATTACTACGTAACAAGTGTTCTCTTTTAGCATTTGCCGTATTGCGTCCTATATTAGATCTTTGTTTAGGCATGACTAAAACGTAAACAAATTTTAATGACAGTTTACAGTTTTACTGCATAATATGACACAATACGGCACATAGATCTTTATAATTATTTACCATAGATACGTTTTGATCAACCTATTGAATTTGTTTTCATTTCACCCGTGTTACTAAGGTAAACCAAATAAATAAATAATAATAATAATAACAACCTACCTAAAAACCGAATTTTGGAGGATGGTTTTCAATAGAGGATGTATGTCAATAGCTATAAACCTTCCTGTGTTAATTGCCTATCCAAAAGTGAAAACCGCATCGAAATCCATTCAGCCGTTTCAGAGTTTATCCCGAACAAAAAAAAGTGACTTCATTTTATACTATGTATTGATTATAAAATATGGTATACATATGTTTTCCCTCCGTTGTTTTTGATTACTTTTAACCGATTCCTCTGGATGAGCTTAAACAAGAAAATAAGTGTTGTTTTTTTTTTTTTTAGGCGAGTTGATGTGCCATAATATCGAGCATTCCCGAATTTTTAGTGAACAATGTCATTAATTTAGATTTAATTCAATCGATAGTTAAAAACAATAAAATATTAACATAGTAATCGGCTCGAATTGGTTTAAATATGCGAATGGCTTTTATAAACTGCAGTAGTTTGTCTGCATATCAAAATAGATCACATAGATAAACGAAGATTGAAATTTGAAATATTTAAACTCTTATTATACTGATAGGCACTTCTGAATAATTTATACTACGGAATAATTATGAAACTGATGTACCTATGCTGTAACTGTCGAACATGTTGTTCCATAACGGAATAGTTTAACTATTCTAACAGGTTTAAACCTAGCGAATAGTTCGATGGTATAACAGTTGTACTATAGTTGTACCGAATAGTTACTATTCGGTTATGCCCGTCACTATTATTTAAGCATATTGTAGAGAATTTTAAATACGTTGAGAATTTAGCGTTTCGTATAGATGTACCCGTACAATGCGCAAACGAGTTTTGTGCGCAAACGAGTGTCATAATACCCCTGAAAAAATGCTGCACATTTTTATATACGTAATTTATTCTACATAATACGCGCATATATTATAATCTATATTACCGTATCGTGTGAAAATAAAAAAAAAATAAATATATTTTAACGAATCGCACCAATAGGAACTCGAAATTTGTTTAACCGTCCGTCTTTAGATTACGATAATTTTTCAGTTGCCGATCAGTACCTAATATTATAATGGAAGTAAAACAAAAAAAAACCATTAAAACAATTCGTAATTCATTTAAGCGGAATTTTCTGATTAACGCGTTTTATTACACCCGTAACTCTTAAAATACATAATTTCGAAACCGAATTAACATACCATCATGACTCGTCGTACAGGTATGTTTCACATGAAACCCGCCAATTGTATTCGTATTTTAAATACTATATATATTACATTCTCGCGGGCTATAATAGACGTATAGATGATATTCTCGAAATTGCACTATAATAATATAATTAAACTAATCGATCTTTAAGGTATTATAATTTTCAATATAATATGATATTGTAATAATGGTAATTGATTATGCCCCAACGATCATCAAAAAAAAAAAAAACGATTCTGAGATTTTTGTTCCCCCCTCCGTAGTATTATGGTCGAGGTAAGCCGAAAATCGACAAACAACACAGAACCGACGTATCGTCAATAATTGTTGTCGTTTATTTTGTTTTACTTTAAAAAAAAAAAAAAAAAAACTATTGGAACTCTAGAGGAACCCCCCCCCCCATCACCGTTCCAGCAAAGTACTGACGGGCGGAAATTCGGCGTCTTTGGAGGTGCTGTATAAAAAAAAAAAGCTGCGCTAGGATAATGGGGACGGATGCAGCCAATGTTATAGATGAAAAGTTGCGAATGTATTAGAGAGAACATTTAATGTAAGCAACGATAAACCATTGCTAACGAAAAACGATTCTGTGCGGAGTTCGATTGATATAATGTTGCTTTACAACATATGCATATATCGTATGGTAAAATAATTACCTAATATGCATTATATATTCATATATTTTCTTTAATAATATTTGTTTAATATTCTACCTGTTTGTTAGGTTTTACCTACGTTTTTCCCGGTTTTCCCCATTTATTGGGAAAACTCCTGGAAAAAGCAAAAAAAAAACCTATCCAGTCAGATTTCCTTTTGGAAAAAGTGCTATAATTGTAAATCGGAGCAAAATTACTAGTAGAAAAGTTATCCAGAGAATAAAAAACTAAACATCAATGTAAAACCAATACATTCCTCGCTCCACTCAGAATCTAAAAAAACGAATAAACCGGCAAATATTTATTCAAGCGCCCGTAAAAAAAAAAAAACTCGTTAATTAATTAATTTCCATACGCAATATGCATGTATATAATTACCGAGATATAGCTTATGTTATACAGTATATTATTTCGACCTCGTCGTTCCGTATTACAATCTTGTAAATTATTATTTAATTTTTTTTTTTTCTTTTTTCATATTCTATTTATCCGATTTCTCATTTATTATTGTCCGCTCCGCGGCGTAATGTGTATAAAAAATACGAGAGAGTCGCCCGGAGAGACGGCAACGAACGTCCTTGACATTATCACGACCATATGATTTCCGAACGGTGGCGGCGGCGGCCGTACACGTCGAGATTAGTAGCGATACATGTTACCGTGAAATATAGAGACAGTGACTCATGGTACAATAACGTAATGATGCATAGTTAATGGACACGAGGCGTTTTTAAGGAGGTTTTCCGTGTCCAAATCGATACACACGCACGCGCGCACAGTAAAGTCTATTTAGACACTCTGGCCCTCGCACTATAGTGAGATTTTACTTACACTGTCCGCGACCACTCGAAAAGTTACGGTCAACGCATTCGACGTGCATTTCCACGGTTGCGACTCTGCTACTCGGTTTGCGGCAAAGGGCCGTAATTATACGTTTTATAAAGCAGAGTATTTAACCGGGTACATGGTTCGTGAGAATGATTCTCTAACGCGTTCGTTTCTCAATAAGTGTTTAATGGTTAAAGTTAATAGTTGCCTAAACGCGCATATAATATCTTGATAGATAATATGAAAAAATTAAAAAAAAAAAGTCGTTCGTAAGAGACACAGTATATTATTTGTTTTATTTATAATACGTCGCCCTTTGCCCCAAATTGAATCGAACTGAAAAGTGAAAATGTTCGAGTACAATGCCAGCCGCGGCCGTAACTTTCGGTCGTATTGTAGAAAACCACACAGACACTCAGCGTTCAATGATTGCGGCTAGCCGAACTTAGGATACATGAACGGGTTTTGTAAAAATCCCAAGTCCTACCTCCCACAAACATACTTGGATAAAATATTTTTCAAAAGTATTTAGAATAAATATTCGAATTATATACAAATTAATATCTCGAACACGTATTCGAATGCTTTACAAAACAAATAACAATAGTATTTTAGAAACATATAATCTGTAAGAAACAGATCTGCAGGGGGGGGGTGTGCGCCACTGTCACAGGCGGGAAATGACTGAAAATAAGTGCTTTCCGAAAAAAAAATTAAAGGTAAAGGGCGATGAACTGTTGGGTATTTTGAAAAATATTTTTTACCGAATTGAAAATCCGTATCTTTTAGAGCGATGATACGTGGAAAAATCGGAACATTTTTACTAACCGAAAACGTGTTTTCTGGGAAAAAAAATAAAGCGTGTATCTCGCAAAATTGTATTTTAGATTCTGAGCGGAGCGAAGTAGGTTTTACTACCTGTGATGATTATTTATTATTATTTATACTGTGTACAAAAATTCTACCAGAAGTCTTGTTCCGATCTGTATGTGCGGCACCATTTCTGATAGGAAATTTTATCTACATGGCAATTTAAGGAGGTCATTTTTTGATTTTCCAAGTGGTTTTCATAATATCTTGGAAAAAACGGGAAAATAGGTACAATATTAAACAAATATTGTTAAAGACAATTTATAATTCATTTGTAATTATTTTACCATAATACGACGTATATATTGTTGACAAAGCAACACTATCAACCGAACTCCGCCCAGAATCGTTTTTTCGTTGACAAACGTTGATTGTTGCATACGCAGATATACATTAAATTTTGCATGCACCCGTCCCCATTACCCTAGGACAGCTTTTTTCTTTTGTTCTTTTTAAAGAATGTAATACTTATTAAAACCATTCGGTATATCGAGTATACTTTCTGAAAAAAGTTTACGATACTCGTCATTCGGAACATCGTATCCGCCCACAGATGTGGCCCAACTCCCGGCTACGGGTCGACAATATTATAACGCAAGTCAGGGTCGGCTGGAAGGCGGCACAAGCCGCGCAATCGCACAGAGCACTGCCCTTTTAAGAGTTCCGCGTCGATTCTCAATCATAGCTATAATAATTTCACACGGGGGTGTCCAAGCCGGTCCTGAACGTAGGTACTAGGCTAGGGCGGTCCTTATTTTGCCGTATTCAACGTTTTTATTCCCGTTCAAATCTCTTCGAGGCCGCCAATCGGTTCGGTTGCATAATCGTCGTCCGCGCGGAATTCCGACGACGGCGGAATTCCGTTCGAAAATAAAACGCATTTTTAATATTATATATATTATGTACGATACGTGGTCATTTTCACCGCCGCCGAGTCTTCTGCGGGCGCGTCATCTCCCGTACCTATAATAATAGTATACCGCGGAGCTCACGCAAACCCGTCCGGTATGTCAATGGCCCTACCATAACTGGTTTACGGTCGGTCCGCCTCGCTATACCGCGGACCGGGTATACGAACCACGTACACGAACCTCGTACGCGGCGGCGTCACACCGGTCGACGAGTACCGCTATGTTCGTCCGCCCGCCCGCCCGTCCGCCCGTCCGCCCGTCCGCCCGCCATTCCCACTGATCTACCTTCGTCCTAGCCGTCGAGGGCCTGTCCCGGTTCCGGCAACGCGCGTCATTCCGTCCGCCGTCGTCGGCCTGGTTCAGTCTCTTGTCCGCCGGTCTGCACGTCGGTATTCCACACGTCGCTCGCCGCGAATCGTGTATAATAATAATAATAAAAAAAAAAAAAATTATAATATAATATATTCGCCTACGCGCTCACACTCGACAACATAACAATTATGTGAATACGGTGTATTTATTTAATTTATCGCTATACGTTACGTACACAGAACGACATTACTGTCCGCTGCCCCGCGCGCATTAAAACGTTGTTTTATAAACGAACTTTTCGGTATTTTTTATTATTATTTTTTTTTCCTATTAGTTTTCAATAGCCGATTTTCGTACACGACCCGCGCACGACAATGATGATCCGATTCGTGGCGAACGCGATGTTGCTGGCGCTCCTGGTCGGGTCCGCGTATCCGTCCATGCTGGACTCCAATAACGTGGACGAAGAGGAAAACCCGTTCTTGGAAGCGGCCAAATCGCTGTTACAGGATTCGCTGGCCAGCGGCCAGGGTGGAGCGCAAGGCGCTGGACTGGGCTCCGTGCTCCAATCGTTCTTGCAGACGGACGGCGCCAAGTCCGGCCTGGGGTCCATCGTGTCCGGTCTGGCGGCCGCCAAAGGTTCCGTGGACCCGCAGATGATCGGCCAGATCGTGGGCATGTTCGCGGGCGGCGCCGCCTCGGCGTCCAACAACGACAACAACGGACCCGGCGTCGACTGGAGTTCCATGATCGATTTGGCCTCTGGTAAGTGACAAGGTACCTGTAGGTATCTATTACCATCGCTTTGTACGATTCGGAAACGGCCTCTAAAAAAGTAAAATAATAAAACAACAGACTTGGCCGAGTGTGGCGTACACGGGGGTGAGGGGTAATATACCTACTGCCCACTTCGGCTTAAAATCTCTATTGCTGTGTGAGTTTTAGTCAATAATTGATCTTGTGAAACGTATTCGTTTCAGCCGAGTCACGAGGAGAAACGATTCGAATTAACCGAACATAAATATCGCATAATTTTGTGCTTTTTTCGATCAGACTTTCAAATATTATTCCCGTTGTTCGGGTTCGGTATTCTCTGGTCATTATTATTCACTCTGCGCGCCCTCCTATCGAGAATTGCTGGGCACGTTACTGTTTGCGCTAAAACTCTACAAATCTTTTTTATAAAAAAAAAAAAATGTATAGTTCATATAATAATACCTATACTACAATTGCGTGTGTATAAAATATTATACGCGCGTTTGTTCAACGAGCACAGACCGACAGTTCAAGGTTTGTTGATAAACGAGTATGCAAACGCGAGTTTCACTCGAATCTATATTGCGCGGTTAATTGTTTAAAAATACTAAATGTTTTTATTACTATACCCGGTGCGATATTTCTCGAAAGTCGGAAATTCTATACGGATTAGTGAAAATCGGACGTCTTTTCGAACTCGCGTTTCCGGATTAATTTTTAAAAAAACTAGACGGATATACTTCGCACTTGGGCGCAACCACTGTTGTAGGTGGGAAGTCGGGAAGTTAGGATACAGAAAGGAATTTAATGTATATCTATAAGCGACGATAGATCATTGCTAACGAAAAACCGATTCTGAGCGGAGTTCAGTTGATAGTGATGCTTTGTCAAGAATATATGATATGGTAAAATAATGAAATAGGCATTTTTTTTTTTTTAACAATATTTGTTCAATATTGTATCAATTTTACCGTTTTTCCAACGGTTTTCCCATTTGTTGAGAAAACTCTTGAACTCAGGATTCAAAACGTAAGTTGTCGAGTTTGCATATACCAGTTTGCATTGTCTGTGTTTGTTCGGTATACCAATTTTTTAACGGGCTTACGCGAAACATCGCCATTTGTAAATTAAAATATCTCGCAAAACTGACGCGCAAAAAACGTCTTATAGATATTATAATAAAATATGTCCTCGTCTCGGGCGCATTAAATAATCTTCTACTAGTACTGCGATAGTAAAAACGTTGTAAATACGAATTAACAAAAAAATTAAACAAATATAATATTACCCAACCGCATAAGCAGAGCCGCGTTTAATGGAGGGGTCAAAAGAGAGTAATTGCCCAAATTGTACGGCATTTGTAGGGGCGGTAAATCCGTGAAAATCGACACAGTAAACCCCCGTCGACTGTGCAGCCGAAAACTGTGTATTTTTCCCCCACTATATAATGGAGCACTGCGTTCGGGTATACTAAAAAGCCCGTTGGCTCTACGAGAGTTGACAATGTAAAGGTACACAAAGACGTTTCGGATATTTTTTTTTTTATATTACCCACCCGCAGTCGAACAAATAATGACTGTAATCGAAATTCAGTGCCGAATCTTGAACTCTGAGGGCCTTGGTACAATTAAAATGTTAGGTCCCCCTCGGGGATAAATTTCAACATATATATAAATGTATAAATAGTTCCTGTCTTATTTAATATTTATTTTCTTTGTATCGACATAATGACGTCACTCGGTCGTGTTAATTATTTTTTTTTTTTAGGCCTTGTATAAAATAACTTTAACGGTGCACGAGAATTATTTTCAGCCGTAACTAAAGGTAATATTATTATCATTTCGGGGAGAGAGAAAAAACAATATTACATACGTTTTACTATATTTTCGGCGCAACCGAGTTGGGTCCCACGATCAAAAATCTCCACTAGTCGGGTACCGTCGAACCGGGTTCCCTCGGGTATAGTGCCTGCAGTCAACTATATAGTACCATAATATTGCAGATGATAATCATAATAGTTTGAACGCTTAGAAAAATAAAACACAATATTTATTCTGTAGGAATAATCGTAGGCGTAGGAAGGCTATATCCCCAAAATCTCCTCTAACCCCCTCAACATTTCTTGCAAATTCCCTGTAAATAAGCATGCAGTAAAAATGTTTTCTAGTCTCTCTTTTTTTTTTCTGCGAAAATGTACCGAATAAGTGCAGTTTAGCCCCTATCCCCCCTTCTACATCCTACACATATGGTAATATCTATCGCGGTTCATAGACGTGTTAAAATGTACTCAACTACAGAAACTCATATTAAAACGTAGAGTTCGTCGCGGAAGGGGGGAAGCCGTATTGATAAAAACGCATAAAAGATAAAATTACGGTAAAAATCGCTGGCAAAACGGACCGTGGGTATTTAAAAACCGAGGAGGAAAACGTTTTATATCGTTTTTGAACGTTATCCGGACCCGACCGGTACACGTGCACCGAAATCAGTCGGTGCCCAGCGCCCGAAATCCGTCCGACTCGGACCGCCGTTTCGGTCGACGGTACGTCCGAGTTATATCGGGGAGGGGGAGGGCAAGTATTTTTTTTTATCATGATTCGTCCGGCGCCTAGTATTCGATTATTATTAATTTTCATACAGGTACACCGTACACAAATCCGACGACGGCGATTTTCAACGCGGAATATTTGAAACGTTGCCAAGCATACGTGACGCTCGGACCCGTCTCCGCGGCGAGGACATTACAATAAATTCGCGTATAAAATTATCGCGTAACGGTAAAATAAATATAATAATATTACCTACGTATAATATATTATTATGCGCGCGCGCGTACAATGCGTATGCGCGATTTTATACCCGCCGTAAAATACAGTGTGTGCCCAAAGCGGGTTTTTTAGTTTTATTTTTATTATTATTATTATTATTATTTTTTTTTTTTCTCTAAATCGTCTCCGCGTCGTTTTTCGCGTAATTACTCGGCGGTCTGCGGCCGATGTCAACGAACCGGTGCGGGACGCGAGTAACGACTGCCATTATAATAAACATACGTATAATATTATGTACAGGTGATGTTGGTATATTATTATTGTTGTTATTATTATTTCAAGACCGCGGCGTTTAGATTTCTTTCAAACTAGGTTTCACGTCGTTTCTCTCCCCCTCCTTCCCCCACTACCTCGCGAACGATATGCCGACGTCGTTTCTGCACGCTCGGCGCACGCATAACGATAATGTTCTGTGACATTATGCCGATAACGGTATCATACGGGTGTACGCGCGCGATCGTTTAAAAAGTACCCGTTGTAAGACGAATCGAATACGTAGTAAACAATATTTGGTGTGTTATTATCGCGCAGACTGTCGGATCGTCCGACGCGCGCGAATTCGATTAAAAACAAAAGGGGAAAAAAAAAAAACACCTCGCGCGAAATCGCGCGGCGTGCGTATTTAACTAGCGCGAACAATCGTCTCGGATCCGCCGATCGAATTTTACATAAAACAAAAAAATCTCTACTCTCCGGGGCTCCGCTCTGTGTATAGATGCGAGCATTTGTTTAGATCATCGTTGACCCTGTCTACCCTGTCCACCCAGAGAGCTGTAATATCTTCTTCTTCAGCATAACGGTCCTTGAAGGACCTGAGCTGCCACCATAAGCAAGCCTCTCCACCTTTACCTGTTGAATCCTAAATCAACAGATGCATTCACATCCACCAAATGAATGTCTTTTTCCACAGCATCCTTCCATCTCGTTCCCGGTCTACCTAGTGTTCGTTTTTTCTGTATCGTAGCAGTTGTGACCTTTTTTAATATATCCTCTTCAGCTTTCCAAATGTGTCCAACCCACTCCATTCTTTTGGTTCTTATATACGTTAATATAGTTGGCTTTCCATACAATTGGCACATATTTTCGTTTTTCCGTCATTAAAATGTTCCTAGATCGAGATTGTATATTGGACCAAACATTTTTCTCAAAACCTATTTTTCAAATATCGCCAGTTTTTTGTTATCAACTTTCATCGTAGACCAGGTCTCAGGTTTGTAAGTGACTGTCGGTCTCAGATAGCTGATGTAAAACCTTGTTTTCGACCTTCTCGACAATAATTTAGATTTTAATAACTTTTGGATGCTATAATAACATCGGTTTCCACTTGTTAATCGTTCAACTATTTCCTGATGCATATCATTTTTACTGTTTATATTCACGCCTAGATATTTAAAACTTTCTACTTTTTCAAATTTGAGGTTATCTACTTGTAGTTTAGGCTGATCTTCTCCTCTCCTGGGAAGCACCATAAATTAGGGCTATAAAATACCTACGTATATATTACACTTAGGTTCGACCGAATTCCAAAATTGCGTTTTCTTTCGCGGATCCGTATAATAACTATTGTGCTCGGACGCGTTATCCCCGCATAGTCTGCCCGGATCAAGTATACTTAGAAATCGCTATAGACAGCCAGCGAACATTGGGTTTTCGCTTCAAAAACGCTCTACACGCGAAGCAACAAGAGAGCACCCCGGCACACTCTACTCCCGGTCTTAAATATAAAAAGTCCCGTCCCCTTTAACAAATTTTACAAACTTTGATTCTGAATTTTTTTTTTTTTTTTTTAAGATTTTAGTGGCGGGCGAGTGTTTAACACAAAAACAATTAAATATTAGTTCTTATTTAGTGAAAATAGGTGTACGTATTAGGGAACGTCGGCGGACGGGTAGATTATTATAAGTTGCTTCCGAGTTATTTTCGGTTCGTTTCGCCATTGTTTCGACGACATTAAATTCCTCTTCGATGAGAATTCGAAATCCACTCGGCATTTCGACGTATTATTATCCAAACATTCGGATGATGCTGATTAGCCGTCCTTAGATCAACAAATAGAAAACGAACGGTCACGCGCTTCATTTTCTCAAATCGCAACAAATTCGACAAAAAATAGTTTTTGTTTTTAATAAATAGAAATCCCATGCGTCCGATATTATAAGGAAACGTCCAGTATTTGAATCAAGCGTCCCGACTAAACGTTCTAAACAACGCAGTTGTGCCGTATGTCTCTTATTATTTCATAAAATCAAGGATTCAAGGGCAATTTTATCTACAAAATAAATTATTTAATTGAATAAATTGAGATTAAACACTGCGATCACCAACGAGATCAGAACTTTATTATTTGTTCGCTGCTTTTTTTTTTTTTATTACATAGGCTAGCAGTTGGCACGTCAAGCAGCGGCCGCAAACAGCATCAGCGCGATATCACCCGATACGGTATAATGCCACTGTAGACAAATTACAAAGTTACGAACTGATTTCTCATATTATGAGATTATAATGTCATGACATATTATGCCAGTTTGGTTTCGACAATATTTTCGGTACGAATAACTGTACCATAAGAAATTAAAATAAATTGTTCAGTTTGATTGAATAAATCGCGGGTTACCACCACCACCACCCCCCACCCCCCAATCGGTATTGTGCAGCGTGTTTTCAGTTTTTAGTAAGAGTTAAAGTTAAAAAAAAAAAAAATGAACCTTTTAACCCTAACTTTAAGACGCTTAAAGACGTATATAGTGCAGTGTATAGATAATACAATATATGTATAGTGTTACGGCATAAATGTTGTGAAATCGGTTAGTGTTGTTATATTTATACTTTTTTGTATACGAAAACTGATCGCGTGCTGTTACTTTTAACATTAGGGTGTATTTGTCTATTGTTAAACCCAAAGATAAGAACATTGTCTATATTATTTGTGCGTAAGTTTTTTTCCCGATATTTTAATTTTCAAGCTAGATAGAATGATATTAAAATCGTAATATTTTACATATTACTCGCTTGAAAATTAAAATATTGAGAAAGAACAAACCGACGACGCATAAAACCAAACGATATTCTCGCATTTAAGTTTGTTAATAGGCCGATATACTCTAAATATTAAAATTAACAGCGCGAAACAGGTTGATTGAACAACATTAACCGATTTAACAAAATGAAGTTTGTGGCGTGTGTGCCAGGCCCGTTTGTGATTCTCGGCTTCTCTCGGCACGATCGCGGTCCTTACCTACTGTAACACTGGGAACGTACAGTGGATTCCGCGAAGTTAACCGAATCGGTCCAAAACGGTAAATCAACCGTATCGCCTCGATAACCCGTTCGCAGAAACGTCGACTGCGTTTAACACACGACTCGGTCGATGGCGTTTTTTTCTACTTTTTTATCCGTGATGTAAACAATAATAACCGGCGGTTGAAAAAAAAAACCGGACACACTCCCAGTCGCGGCCGTTGGTATATTGTTATTATGAGGTCATTGCAGTCGTAGGCGGGAAGTTGGTAATAAGGTATTGTATACGTGTACTTATATAGGAATAGGATACGGGATATAGTTTTGTCGAAAACAACGGCGATAAACCGTCGCGTTTAAAATCCGATTCCGAGATTGTAGTATATCTGTTTTTGTGTAGCCATCAAAAAAAAAACATAACATAGAAATCGTCAAAAATAAAACCGAAGTAACGGTCGTTTGTCGTTGGCTTATTTTCTTTTTTTTTTTTAAATCCACCAAAATCGGAGCGTTTCTACTAACCGAAAAACACATTTTGTATAGTCAAAACGAATTATGGCTTCTTTGTCAAACTCGAAATCGAAAAACGAACCTACTGTAGTAAAAAAAAAAAAAAAAACCAAAATTGCGCTAGTATGCGCTACATACGTAAAATACGCTAAATTATAGTAAAAATTAATAAATATTTATTTGTTTTCATAACAGGTACATATTGAGGATTTTTAATTTCTCGAAATTCTCGTTTTTATATCGACTCGATATTTTAACGAAATAACTTAGTGTCGACGAAAAACCTGGATAACGTCCAAAGACTTTTAGACTCTGAGCGGAGCGAGAAATGTGTTGGTTTTATAATGATGTTAATTTTTATTTTTTATTTTATCTGCAAACGACTTTTGTACCAGAAATCTTCTTCCGATTTTCAAGCGTAGCACTTTTTCTGAAAATAAATTTTTCTGGGGTGGTACTTTAGTGAGATTATTTTTCGATTTTCCCAGGGGTTTTCATGATAAATGGGAAAAACCGGGAAAATGTACGAAACGTATTATTTTTAAATCGTAAATATTAAGGCCTCTCAAACCATGTGTGTAACCGAACCCCGCTCAGAATCGTTTTTCGTTAGTAACGACTAATCGTTACGTATATATATATTTACATTAAATTTCCCCATTTGCCTTCTCGATTTTTCTTTTGCAACAGTGGACCCACCCGTCATGCGAAACATGTCCGTTTGTAATTTTTTTGCACTTAACAGTTTTAGCGCCTATAATTTTATCGATTGAATTTCAAAACGAGTTACGGAAATACAACACTAGAGTATTTTTTTGGGTTTTTTTTTTTTTGTAAATCGGTCGCTATTTTCGTTGCGCCACTAATTGAATCAGTTATTTCGTAAAGGCCATTTCTCCATACTTTTTCAAAAGTAATTTTAATGTGATAACTAATAATAACTAATAAAAATGCACATTTCCTGCGAAACCGCGATATCTCCGACAGTTCGTTATGGTCTAAATTGAATGGGTGCACTCGAAAAGAGCATTTCTCCAAAATATCTTTATCAGTAATATTATTCGTTAAGATTGTATCGTCAACTGGTTTATTGTCCAGCAGTTTGTTTGATATAATAAACGTTTTTTACGTTTCCTGAAAATGTTCATTTTACGGAGAAACGGCCTTTTCGAAATGAATGATTCGATTATTGTAATCAAACGGCGTTTCTCGTCATACACAGGGTTCATGTCGTCGACCGGAGGCGGTAACGGCGGCAGCCAGGGATCGCCGCTCGAGGGTTTCATGAACGTGCTGCCCGTGCTGGTGAACGCGTTCAACGGCGGCCACAAACACTCCGAGGACCCCGAGGTGGAGGACCACGAGGAGCACGAGCGTCACGCGCGGGCCTCGTCGTTCTTGCCGCCGTTCCTGAGCAGCGCGTACGTGTACTGGGAACACTTCAAGAACAGCGAGCTGGGTACTACGCTGTGGAAGAACAGCGGTCTGGGCAGCATACTGCAGCTGTTCATCGACAGGGACGGCCATTTCCAGGTGGACAGGATATTCGAGTCGATGGAGAACGCCACGTTCAGGCGCCGGTGGGTCAGGAGTCTGACCAGCTTCGTGGCCGAGTGGATCAAACACGTTTCCGACCCGAACACGCAGGCCAGGTAATCGTCGCCACGTTTAATAGCACCAATAATAATAATAATAATAATGACGCGTGTGTACGTGTGAACGCGCGCGCATAATGTTATTTTCATGTGTACGTATCGTACACGTGCATGTGTACGCGGGCTACACAAGTACACAATATAGTAACGCGTAATACCTACCTAGACATAAATTGTCGACCCGTCGCGCGGTTCCGTACGAAAACTGGTTTCGCACGGCAGAGTTCGTTGCCCAGAGACACGTGAACTGTACGGCGAATAAATACGCAGGAAAAAAAATAAAATAATAATAATAAAAAATAAATACGTACGCGTAGTAACATGCGCGTCATTTAAAATACTGTAACGATACAGAAATAGCCGGGCGACGGGCCGGGTGGCGGTGGCTTGTTCGCGATGTTCGGCCCCGGTGACGCGCGAACGGTCATTTTTAGCCGTCCGGCATTGCGAAATCCGCACGACGGCGTTCGCGGATCCGGGGATTCGTTTAAAGGGGTCGGGGGGAAAGTAGGGGTTTACATTAAATAACCTAACCAGTCATATTTTCAGTAAATCAAATATAAATCGTGTAAATTAAATTAACCACACGAATAAGTAAATCAATAAATCAAATCGATATAATGTATGTAAATAAAAACTCTAGTCTATTGACCGGGGGTTGGGGGGAGGGCACGTACCACTGTGTCCGCCGCTGGATATCACTGATTTATCCGTGCCACGATCGGAACATCGGGTAACATGTTTTGTTTGCGAAGTATATTATTATCATATCATAAACCGTTAAATTGTATAAAGTGCGAGATTCGACGATTTATCGCGGTGAATCTCGAAAACGGAGAAAAAGTATAGCACAAACGTGTCTCGGCCCAATAAACATCTAGAATAATTTGTACGTCTTTTTTGGGGATCGATTTTTCGAAATTCAAACGGGAACCTCCTATACGTTCAAAATTTCGTTGAAGGACAGCATATCACGTAGTTTAAATCGATTTATGTGTATTGTACATTTTTCTCTATTCCGAATATTCACGTGATAAAATGGCCGTATTACTAATTAATTAAATGTCGAATCAATCTGTACATTATTGTATGTGTAACGGTTAAACGTCGTTTTGAAAACCGATTTTGTGCTGTTAGTTTTAATATTGTGTTATAGCCTATTGTCAGACTCAAATGTAAGAACATCGTCTGCTTTCCGTATACGTTGGTTTGTTTCTCGGTATTTTAATTTTCAAGCGATAGTTACAATTATGTGGAATATTGCAATTGTTTTAAAAATAATCGAATCTGGTGTGAGCGTTAAAATATCGAGAAAAAATTAACCGACGCGCGAACACTGGAAATGTTCTTACCTTTGAGTTTGATAATAGGCCTGGTACACTCAAATGCGTCAAACAAACTATCAGCATTAAATCGATAAAAATATAAATACAACGACATTAATCGTAAAATTTGTATTGTAAATGCAATGTAATATCGTGTTACATTTACGATGCATGCGTTTGTGGTAGGTCCTACCGTTGTCTATTCGAATTATACGGCTGTATCATCACAGCACGCGTCGTCTTCCTCTTTTTCGTTTTAAACGTTCCGTTTATGGAGTTCATAGTTAAAATCATTATCAATCAATTCGTAAACGTTCCGCATAAAAACCGCGGTTTCACAACTGTATTATATCAACACGCGTAGTACACGGTTAATATTTAAGTTAACAAAACCTGTATCAAAAACTATACGCACATATATTTATTACCTATATATAATGCCCCCGAACGTGTCGCGATTCGGGATAAAATGTTCAAACGTGCAGTTGTAACCGTTCTGCAACCAAGCCCCTTCGAATCGAGTCCTCGTCGAGTAGTTCCTATCTACTATATACGTGTACATAATGTAAGGGGCTTTAGCCCTTTTATAAAAAACCATTTGGTCTATGTGCGGTCAACGGAATCTTTAATATCTATAATATGGTCACTGCGAGATAGGCGGCGAAATAGCAACAGGCGTGCAGTTTTGACGATGCAGTTTTCGGTAAACAATTCACTGCACTGTTTGCTGATTCCGGCAACCCGGTTGTCGAAAAATGCTATTTGATTATCAATCAATTGATTGCAGTAAACAATATCAGAAGTCGCTGAAAAAAATCGCGGTCGGCTGGTGCTGTTCACTGGTTTAAAACTTGAAACAATATCCTTGCCTATATAATCTAAAATCTCTAATCACGCACCAACAAAAATCTTACCGAATTCGTGCTTCAATAATTCAAAACCGAGGGATTAATTAATATTAACTAGGTATACTTTTATGTACCTATAAATATACCTATAGGTACAAACATAAATGAATCAAGCAATATGCGCAACGAAATAAATGTAAGGATCTCGGCAGCCAGCAAATGATATTTCGCATCAATTAAGCTATTTTAATCTGAATTCTTATCTAGAAGCTCAAAGATTAACCTATACTTAAGCTGCCTACGTACCCAGTTAGTGTATAGTTGCGAACCGTGGTTGATAACGAAAGGAGACGAAGAAAAGTTGTTGGTGTCCGAGAAGAAAGTGCTCCGTCGAATTTACGGTCCGATTCCTTAATCTACCAGCTTTTTCAAAAACAAACTAAAGCATTTGTCAGAAGCAAACGGATAGAGTGCAAGACTGGACACGTTTGGAGAGGCAGCGGTGTTGGAGAAGTCAACGGGAGAAGACCCAGAGGCCGCCCCAGCAAAGGTGGATTCAGAGCAGATCTGCAAAATATGGCACAATTAATTGGAGCTAGAAGCGAGCGAGGATATGGAGAGGTGGCGGGAAGTTGTAGAAGTAGCGAAGGTCCTGAATTGTCTGTGAAAGCTTAAGAATATGCATGTATATTTATATGAGTAGTAACGTACTCTGAATACATACATTCGAATTTGCGATAAAAATAAAATAATATTAGTTTTTTTTTATATTTTGCAAACTTGATTTTGTAATTTTTCATACGTATGTAAAACAACCAATTAAAGAACACAGCGGCATTTAAATTTCGGTTTACTATGCCGTTAACTCGCGAGTTGCAATAAAAATTGATTTTTGTGGGTCGTTTGGACAAGGTTGGACTAATAGGAAAAATTCAATTTTTAATCGAAAATCTGCACAAATGAATTGTACACATTTGTAGACGTTCTGTATAATATTGTGATATCCTAATTACAAAATGCAAAATTTGTTTTCCTTTCGTTTTCGTTAATATATTTGTACCTACTCTGAATCCGCGTAATTCACTCGACATTTGTTGTAAACGATTAACGGGCATTGACTGAAATACACTGTCGTAAAATCTCGAAATAACGAATTAATACTTGAATAATATAGTCTTTGCAACAGACGTAATGCCCGAGAACTTAAAATTCGTCGTAAATATCGAAAAGGACGTCTCAAACGGAAAAATATTATACAGATGTCACAAATGCCGAATCGTTCAGGAAATCCATTTAAAGTTTTCTCTATAGTTTATTATTATTATTATTTTTTTTTTCTTAATCGATCTATAAACTCGATATAGAATAATAGAGAATAATACATACAAATTGCCGTAAAATAACAATTTGTTAGTTAAACTCGACCAAAACGAATTTTTTAATTATATTCTGAATAAAGTCAATACTTTCCGGGACAGCGAGTGTTTAACGGTAAAAGATTCGCCATGCGTACGAAACGAATCGGACTTTACGAATTAAAACCGAGATGACTCGACGGCCGAAACGTTGGGTCATTTTCGCGACGGGTATTCGATTTTCTGCATCGTGTATACAATATTAGTACCTAACCTAAAACATAAAGAAATTAAATTTCTTATTTCGTATATACAGAGCGATTCACTAAGCGTGCTCACCCCATTCTTTTGGTTGTGTTAGGGGATAAATTCCACTTTTAAGTTTAAGTAGCGGGGAAATAGTGCCCTACTATATCGTCTCCCCGCAAACTTAAAAGCGAAATATCTCGTTAACGGGTTGACGGAAGTCAACAATTTTGACACCAAAATTGATTTAAAGTAATACTCGGTCTATTTATGGGAATATTTAATATAGGCTGTCATTTGAAAAACCAAAATTGATATCAACACAGGATACTCCTTAAATGTTATGAAAAATCTAAGTATTCGAATATATATATATATATAACTGCACTTGAAAATCCAAAAGTCAGAATTTGAATTTAGTGAATCAATCTGTGTATAGGTATAGTCCTAGAAGATAAGGTCGGGACACTGCGGGCTATCTCCTCTGTCTTAATTTTGCGAGGGCAATTATTATAGGGCCACAGTGGCGTAATTGGCATTTTTTGTAGGGGACAGATGATAAGAATTTTAGCTTATAAAACGGTGGGGGCAATACCCACCACACCCCTCACAAATATGTCAAATAAATAGACAACTTGGGTTTTTTTTTTTTTTAATCCTGGAGACGACCCAATCCAGGATACGACGCGTTTTGATCACTACTCGCTACCGTGGTTGTAGGCTTCATCTACAACCGTGGTCGCTGCCGAATGCGTTTCTTATCTCGAGGTGTTGTACATCAGAAGAATAAGTCAACATCAAAAATCTCTATTGTCATGCTTAAGTAAACTGTTATTTTACGGAACAAAATTAGGCACGAACTATGCATTTTTTTTTTTTTTTGTTAATAGTTATCAATTAATACGAATTTATACAATACGATACAATAATTATATACTAATTCATGTATTCAATGACGTTTTCAAATCCGTTTCCCAAAATACGCCCCTAATTATTCAGGGAGGCGAACTTTATCTTAACTCGAGGGGTTTGGTGATGTAATATTACATTAAATGTCCTCAGATTTTGTAAACATTCAAAAAATGAAATGTCTCTTTCCGACGGGTAATAAGAACCTAAGGAATCATAATCCGTTTTTAAAATTGAAAAATTCCTACAGTTTCGTCTGGATTTACTATAAAATATACACCGTCACCAATCCCCTCCCTCCCTTATTATCATTAAACCTAATAATTTCGAATATTTTTTTTTAAATTTAATAGTTTTTAATTTTTATGTTTCGTATATAAACAGCAACATATAATTTACCAATCCATTATAATTACGATTTTTCAACCTAACCTATTGGTGCATAGTCACGCAAACGTATCGAAATATGCATAGCGTTCAAAGACGAATATTAGTTTTTTTCGGAAAGCTATAGTTATAATTTACTTATTTAACGATGTATGCGTGTCAGGAAAGAGATAATCTCTCCGTCGCCGCCGCCGGCAAAAACCAAAAAAAAAAAAATACAATTGTTATTTCCAAAATTAGTTTACACGCTTAGATTATAAGTCATTTATTTTAATTAGTGTTCGCGCGGCTCTTTTAGGCAAAAAACTATTTCGAATTATATTTATCTATCTATAATATGATGTTTGGAATATCATCGACAATAATAATATGTGTAAAATGGTCAAAACGTGATTCGTTTTAAATCAGAGGTTTCCAAACATTTTTCTCCGCGTACACCACTTGCTAATTTATTCTGTTTTTCGTAGATCCGCCTGCTATCAATTATAACCCCTATTTACACCTCACGCAACCCCGATTTTATTTTTTTTTCGATAAAATTGTACCCTTGCGGGTCAAAATGAACCTCCGAGGGTCTATTTAGACTCCTTGGGGAACCTCTGTTTTAAATGAGGAACCCCTTTGTTCTGTTCGCATTCGTCCAGACCGAATACACGCCTAACCTATAATCTTTACCCGCCGCGCCGTCGGGTTTCTTGTCGGTTTTCGTGTTATTTATTTTCGTTCGCTTTTAAATCGCCGCCGTCTCGAACACACCTCCCATGTTTTTTTTTGGACTATACGTAGGACCGACGACAATATTATTTATTAATAGCCACGCAATCGAAACATGGTGACGTATATAGGTTCGGTCGGGGTAAATGATAAACAAACACGGTCACGAAGATTATAACGTCTCTCGAGGATTTAAAACACGAAAAACGTACCTACATTCAAATGTCCAGACAGTATTATTTGTTTCTGGGTTTTTTTGGCGTCAGTACCGATTTGGGCGCACGATAAAAATACGGACCTTCTGTACGATACATGATGGAACGTTATTGGGGGTTGGGCCGACGGAATTCACTCGCACAAAACCCGTATACTATCTATTAAGTATACTTACCCACCGTATTTTACAGATACCTGTCGACGACACAATTCATCATGAACGGGTTTCTGAAATCACAAGGTTATTCCAAGGCGGCGCAGTTCGACCCGGCAAGACCGGCGGAATCTCTGAGCTTTTTGGCCGACGCCGTGTTCAAACGACAATTCGGACTCAAAGTCAACTCGGCCACGTACATCAAACCCGCGATAGCGTACCTACAAGTATGTATTAATACCTTTTTTTGTTTTTTTTTTAAAATATAAATCGTTATCGGCGTTTTTAACACCGCGTCACGCCTTAATGCGTTTTCTAGGAAGTGTTTAGACTGGGCCAGAGCAAAGGACTGAGCTTGCAGCATTTGACTTCCAAGGAGATCGAAGAGAAACTGTCGGAACTGTTGAACCACGAGATCATCGACCCGGTGCTGAGGGTGTGGAGAGTGTACAGGTTCGTGTCGAAAAAACCAGAATGCGATCGGTACTTGGTGTGCAGTATTAATCGCAAAGGCCAATATCCGGACAGCAAAACCGGACTTAAACCGGGCGTCACAAAACTGTCCAGGTGTGTATTATGATCGGATACTTCATTCGACATTTATTATTTTTTTATTTTTTCGATTTGATTTAAATCGAATGGCGAAAAATAAAATCGACGAATTATAACTTACGGCCATTGTTTTTATTTTCGACGCAGTTTAATCGCTTCGTGGTTCCTGTCCGGACAAACGGGTACGCCGTTCTGGAAACTTTACAACGCCGCGACCGAGGACCACAATTGTTCGGTGAGTACAGTGTTTTACGCCGTCGGACCACCGACTGTTTTGTTATGATAATTTGACGGCGGCGAGTGATATTCGCACGTAGAATATGGCGATGTCTCGTGCGTGACGAAAAAAACCCGCGACGACGATATAACGATTAAAAAAAAAAAAAAAGACCTCGGACAATTATATTTTATGTCGTGGATACATTATAGATTATTTCGCGAACGATCTATCGAAGAGAAAAAATAAAACAAAAAATTACTCTCAACTCGCATTCAATATTGTATTGGGTTTTTTAAAAATAAAAAAAAAAAAGCAAAAGCCATGTCCAAGAATAATGGGGACGGGTGCAGCCACTGTTATGTAGGCAAGATTAACGATAAACCATTATTACTAACGAAAACACAATTCTGAGGGGAATTCGACTGATAGTGTTCCTTTGTCAACAATTTATATGTTACAATATTATATGATAAAATAATCACATATGCATTATATTTGTTTTCTTTAATAATATATTTTACCTATTTTCCCGTTTTTCCTAAGTTTTTTCCCATTTATTGGGAAAACTTCTGAGAAAATCGAAAAATAATTTCCCTAAAGTACCTTCCCAGTTAGATTTCCTTTTAGAAAATGTGCTCTCGGAGCAAAATTGCTGGTAGAAAAATTGTCCACAGAGAAAAAAATAAACATCTTTGTAAAACCAACACGCATTCCGAGCAAGCTCCACCATAATCTAAAATTAGTACGAATGATTTTTTTTTTTTTTGACAAACCCTCGATATTATTCGGTGGGAAAAATTATTCCCACTTCACGTAGATATCAATAATACACTTGCACAATATTATTGTATCACCGCCGATCAAATTGTTCGCGTTTTTATTCGACGGACATATTGTTCACGGTTTTATAACGCTTCCGTGTTTACAGACTAAATACCCGGCTAGCTGTCAAGAATTCCACGAGGAAGATTTGCGGGCCACCACAGAATATTTCCACAACGAACTCTAACCGTAATATTGTAAAACAAACTGCAGTTCAAAGGACCATCAAAATGGCGGATATCCACATCCGTTAAATAATTATTATTCACATTTCGAAGGCTGTTTTATTGATTTTGGTTTTTTAACAATGTTATTACATATAATGTATAATGTCGTGTAAGTATTCGATAACTTTAAACGGGGTGTACACTAGGTTACTCGGGTACTTAAACCTAGTTTAAGCCACCATTGATAATATTATATTATTTATTACCTTAATTTTATTATATTATAAGCGCATCGACTAAATCAACGTTTTTTTTTTTTTTTTTTTTTTTTGTAATGTAAAATAACTATATTTATAATAAGGTACGAATTGGCGGAAATAATTTCATGTCGATAGGTTTTTTTTAAAAAAATTTTCGCGCCCCGAAATGCCGCGCAACTGTTTTTCAAAAGTTCCATAAAATAAATATTGCGACTAACGTCTACTCGTATTCACGTGATTAAAACTGTAAACAAAAAATAATAACAATTTAACATTTTACGTCAAATTTTTTGGTCCGTGGAATATCTGTATAATAATTGGTATTGTCGTTGTAACGCACAGTCTATAATACTTTCACGGATTGTCGAATCAACGGACAACAATCAAAATCGATGTTTAGACTCACTCGTATGCGATACCCCGCCGTCGCCGACGAGCATTTCGTGACATTTTTGATGATAACAGTTTAGATCACAGACCACACACACACACACATATGTATATATATATATATGTGTGTGTGCGTGTGTGATGTGTCTGAACACGTAAAAGAAAGTATAGGCGTCTCTTTTGTATACATGTATTTAGTTTATTGAAAACAATATTATAATTTATTTATTTTTTTCTCTCACATTTAAAACGCGTACACGCGATCGAAAACGATTAATTTAGCAATTGTCGCGTCTCGACAATGTAACTATTATTATATCATAATAATGCCGTCGGGTACTGCCTGCCGGTACAATGGACGAATTCGACTTGCGTCTCTGTAAAACATCGAGATGAATACAATTTTGTTCCGCGGATTTGGATTCGATTACTGTGGTCTCGGCGGCCTTTTTACCGAACGGTTTTCGCGGACTTTGACAGCGCGTCGAAAACGGCCGTTGGTCATCGTCGTCGGCGCGTACCCGACGCGCGTGTAATACGGGGGACCGTAATGTTATTGCGCAAACGTAATTTAATTGTACGCGTGTTATTTTACAATTTACATAGTGCACCGCCTAATATTAACCGTACACCGTTGTACACGAAAATCGCCGACTTTAACTGTGCGTATCTATCGGTAGTACATTTATATATATATATAAAGTAATAAATGTTATTATAATTAATATATTAGCAAATATAGAAATTAAAAAAAAAAAAAAAAAAAAAAACGATTTTACTAATTTTTACATATACCACTGAAACCGACTATGTATGGCGATTGGCGCAAAGACGTTCTTGTATACAACGATTTTTACATGGATAACGCGTTACTTCTTTTTTACATTTTGACCGATCCATTCCAGTCCTTCCTGAGTGAAAGAAAGAAAAAAAAAAAAATGTTTGGTAATATTAATAAATCGTTTAAATTGTATACGTATTATATTATAATATATCTATAAGCCTGTCGCAATGTATGATATTATTTTTTTTTATTATTTATTTATTTATTTATTTAAATGTACGGTTTTAAAATGACTTTAGCTAGCTATAGATGTACCTTAATGTATACCTATATATTATTGTACTTTACTCTTTAAATAATATATCATTATACGTATTACTATAACGCACGATAATCGAAGTGTGATATTACAATTTATTTTCGATTTAATATTAATATATCATTATGTGTATACATTTTTTTTTTTTTATTATTATTACTATTTTTTTTTTTTTTTTTTTTTTTTTTTTTTTGTAATTTTTATAAAAATACATATTACATATTATTATTATTATTGTACTTATTGAAACATCATTTTATCCTGTTTCCTCCTCCGCGTTTTGCTAAAGAGCTATGATATGTTCGTGTGTAGTTAACGTACCATTATATATTTTTTTTTTTTTTTGTGGCAAAATAATAAAAAAAATTTATTCGATTAAATATCTCATCTCGTATATAATACGATGAAACGCTTACTTTAATGCCTTCTCCGCGTATACCCGAACAAGCCTGTATCTGCCACGGCCTGTCGCGAATCAGATGCAAGTTGAGCTCCTGCGCTATTTCCGACGCTTGAGCGGCCAGGGCCAAGTCTTGTTTGTTAGCGTAAACGAGCACTGGCACTCCTTCGAGTTTATCGTCGTTGAGCAGTTCGTTCAATTCGAATCCCGTTTCGTCCACCCGTTTTCTGTCCGCGCTGTCCACCACGTAAATCTGTACAGCAAAAATAATCGACAAGAATTGTAAAGCAACTAAATTTAATAAATCGTTAGTCGTATACGGTTTTTCAACAGTATACCATAGTGTAAAGTGTAACGAAAGTTGAAAGAAAAGAAAATGGTTCAGACATACTAAGTACGATTGGTGGGCCACTGTTGTAGGCGAGATGTTGAGAAGGTAGAAGGGAAACTCAATGTGTATCTGTACGCAAAGAATAACCATTATATACGAAAAACGATTCTGAGCGAAGTCCGGTCAATAATGTTGCTTTGTCAACAATATATAATATGTCATATTATGGTGAAATACATGCAATATTTATATTTTCTTTAATTATATAATATGTTTTTTTCCCGGTTTTCCACATTTGATGAGGAAACCCTTGGGAAACTTGAAAAATAACTTCCCTAAAGTAGCGCCCCATTCAAATTTCTATTAAGAAAAAGTGCTGTAGTTGAAAACCGGAACAAAATTGCTGGTAGAAAAGTTGTTCTTCGCAGAAAAAAAAAAAAGAGGGTGTAATATTATTGTATAGGTATATGATTTTCAAATAATATATTACGTGCGTTTTCCCATTTTTTCTACGTTTTTTCCCATTAATAGGAAAAACTCACGAGAAAATCAAAAAAAAAAAAAAAGACTAAAAAGTCCGACCGTGACCGATTTTGTCCACTCACCAGTATGTCGGTGAACTCGAAATAGTTGCGCCAGTACGGCCTGATCTTTCGCTGGCCGCCGATGTCCCAGACGTTGAGCTTCATGCCGTCCGCCTGCACGGACTTGATGTTGAACCCCTGCGTGGGCGTGATGTGCGACACGTCCTCCGAGGCCAGTTTCTTCATCAGGGTCGTCTTGCCCGCGTTGTCCAGGCCCAGCAACAGGATCCGCAGCTCCTTGTCCGGCGACGACCGCAACCGTTTCAGCATCGACAGCAGCCCCTGCGTCCGAACGGTTCGCGTAAACAATGGGAGCAAAAAAAAATTACCCGTTTACATTTCGTACGAGCGACGCGACCGTTCCGGAATTCCGCCGGCGGGGTCAACCGCGCTCTTAAACGGAAAGATGGACTTGTCGGCGTTTTCGCTGGTCCGGCGCGTGACCGTACACCGACGCCGGTGCCGCGACAACGAGATTTCTCGCGGACGATATTATTTCTCGTTTCGCGGCCGTGGTTTTTAGTTAGTAGCATTGACTTTGCCCGATTTCAGCCACGGTGCCCAAGTACCCGCCCGGTCGGACGAAACACCGGTGACCCGGTGCACACCGGCATCGGAATCCCGCAGAACGTTCGCGGGGCGTTGTCGCGTCACTGTTGCGTGCAAACAGACGTTAAGTAGCGCACTGTCGATGTTTGTGGGATTTTATCGAAGAAATAAATAAAAGCCAACGCGTCTCGACTCGCATGTAACTTACACTTATACTCGCCGGTTTCAAAACGGTCCCGAGTCTTTGACGCGCAATCACGGATGGTGTCATTTTTGTTCCCGTGAAACGGGGAAAAAAGATGTTCAGTGTCGTTTCGGTATTCATACTCATTGTGGAAACTAAAGACCGCGTCTTATTATTTAATATTAGTTATTAATTTACCCACATTTAACAGGGGGGGGGAAGGCAAACAAAATTTCCAGGGGAGGCTATCGTCCGTTGTGGTATGCCTGGATTCAACACCGGCTACGGGTATGCAGGTTATGCTTTGATTGAAGAAAACTCAGTTTTCATTTTTTGTGCATATTTATAAATTAATGCCCAGCCATATACAAAAAAAAAAAAAAAAAGAAGACGGACATAGTTCACACGTGGATACCATTACGATGATATCACGCGATAAACCATTGCTAACGAAAAAACGATTCCGGCGCTCGGTTGATAGTGCTGCTTTGTCAACGATATATATGTCATAAAATAATTAAATATGCATTAAACATTTTTTTTAATAATATTTGTTTAATATTGTATCAACCTATTTTCCTGTTTTTCCTACTTTTTCTCATTTTTTTTTTCATGGTTTTTCTCAATTAATGGGAAAATTCTATGGGAAATCGAAAAATGACCTCCTAAAAGTACCTTCCCAGTCAGATTTTCTTTCAGAAAAAGTGCTATCACTGCAAATCGGAGCAAAATTGCTGGTAGATAAGTTGTACGCAGAAAACAAATATCGTAATATTTTACTAATATATTTCATATATTTCCCGTTTTTTTCACATTTGATGAGAAAACTACTGAGAAAATCGAACAATCACTTTCCTAAAGTACCACTCCAAGAAAATTTTCTCTTAAAAAAATCTTCATCATGTACATCGGAATAAGCTTTCTGGTAGAAAAGTATTCACATAAGAAAAAAAAAAATTAAAAATTAAAACAATAAACATCTTAGTAAAGCCAATACATTCTCCGCTAAGAACACTCAGAATCTAAGAATAATGATAAAAACTTGTCTACAGTTATCACGTGTATTGACTACATTTCGTAAAAATAATGAACTAAAATTATAAACTTTTTTCAAATATTGTAATCGCAGTATTTATATAGTTGTTTATCCTAACAAGCTGCGCTTAATCGATCCTTAAAATAAATCTTCTATATTATAGGTAGTTAAGAAGTAGTTTATTGTTAGCTTAGGAGCACACCTTAAATCTAAAGTTTAGCTCCACCTATATGTGTATGTATCAATGTATGTATTCAAGATTAAAAAAAAAAAAAAACGAACTTTTCTTACAATTAAAAGAAGCCGTAGGTTTTTTTTTGATAAATTATTATTTGACTAAATTAATTCCCAGGATAAATTTGTGTTCTTCAAATTTTATCGTCGAATATTGTACGCTAGATCCGTGGACGCGATTAGGGCGGACTTAGTGATACTAGGCGCCCTAAAATAGCTGCTCAATCCCCCAAATAACTTGATTAATTATACAGTTATACCAATATATTTATTTTTTTCACCGTTAAATATTGAAAGAAAAATATAATTAATCAGTTAAAAATTTATAATGTAGATATAACAAGTTACAGTTAATCATTTGTACCCACAATAGTGTATTTTATTTAAGAGGTTTATCAAAAAATACCACCAATAAAGTAATTTACATCGTTATATAATTTTAGACCCCCCCCCCTTCCCCTCCCATCAAAATAATATCGGTGTAGAAATCGTGTTTTCTTAAAAACGAGAAATTATAATAATAACGCGAAATATTATCAGTGTCGAATGTTAATTAATACAATAATATTTAAAACTTACCATTTGTTTTGTTTTGTCTTTTTGAAATAGTCGGATACTCCGCGGTTCGGCGGCCCACTTCAGTTTCCACTCAGTCGGTTACCGACATCGTCGCAATCGCAGTCGATTTAAAAAACAACGAAGCGAAAAAAAAAAAATCAAGAACCGAAATTAATTTTAATATAACATAATATTATTCTGTCACTGACGAAATGAAACGCGCACAAAGCCCCGTTGTTTTCCCATGTTATCGATTTGTATACTTGGCGGTTTCGGTTTTTTGTATACAGTCTTTGACGCGTTACTATGGAGATCGTAATTGGTATAGGTAATATAATTTAAATATTTTCGTCGATCACCCCCACCCTGGCTATATCGTGTTCAGCGTACCTGCCTGGTACGACGCACCGTATACGCGTGACGTGTTCCCTTGTGTAGACTGCGTTATGGCTTTGGAAAAATTAAGAAAAATTGAAAAACTATCGAGTTGCCATAAGAAAATGTATACGCGGCACCCAATACGGACGGACCCGTCTGTAACACGGCAGTCAATTTGGACGTTCCAAATTACGTTTATTATAAGATTCTGAGTGAAGCGAATCATAGGCGCGACTAGAGGCCAAACACTGGGGGTGCTAAAATGATGTAGAGGACACGAGCTCGTGGCGGCTACCAGACAGCTTAATCCGATATACACGATGTAGACCCTCTTCTGAAAGAACATTTTCTTGGGGTGGTACTTTAGAGAGGTCGACTTTCTCATCAAATGTGCAAAACCATAAAAGAAAACCTGAGGAAGTCGAACGAAATATATTACGACATTTTTTTTCTGTCGACATTTCTACCAGCAAATTTGCTCAGACTTACAATGGTAGCATTTTTTTTTCTGAAAGGAATTATAACTAGGAAGGTACTTTAGAGAAGTCATTTTTTGATTTTATTTCAAGAGTTTTCTCAATATATTGGAAAAACCGGAAGAACGGAACATTAAACAATCATTGTTAAAGAAAATATATAATGCCTATGTAATTATTTTACCATAATATGACATAAATATTGTCGAGAAAGCGTCACTTTCAACTGGACTCCGCTCAGAATCGTTTTTTCGTTAGCAATAGTTTATCGTTGTTTACAGATATACAACAAATTTCCGTCTGTATCGTACCTTCCCAACTTCCTACCTACAACAGTGGTTGCACCCACATGCGAAGTATAAGTCCGTCTTTTTATTTTTATGTTTGAAGCCCAGATTTTTATGAAAATCGATCAATCGTAAAATCATACGATTGTATACGGATATTATTTACTTTACCTCGCTGAAAACTCGTATCGATTGCACTATCAGTACCAAAATGTGCCAAAATAACAAAAATTGTAGGTATGCTTACTGTATCACAATTTATTTATTAGAACGATAATATAAATACCACAAAACCACGCGCTGGCTAATAATGTTTGCAATAATATTAATTTTGTTTATTGTACGCGTATTTCATCGAATCTCAGTAAATTAAATCTGTTTTATTCATTGTGGTTTTTAAATTTTTATTTTTCTGAATCGTTTTATAATCATTCCTTTAAACTCTTTCAATAGTTTATTAAGTTTTCTTCGTCGGTATAATAGTAGTGGTTTTTTTTTTTCTTTTCGTAAATCTTGTTTTTTTTTCCGGTTTATTTGCACGCGAACCCTTCGAGCCAAGACTGCTGGTAGCTGCGGATGACTTCAAAGAACGAGGATCGGGATTCGGTGATCGAATTATATTATAGAGTGTAATACTATGGGTTTAAGGTAAGGTTAAATTAATCGATACAGTGGATTAGGCCTACTCGGGGACACCACTATAAAAAAAACGCGCCTCGTGCAAAACCTCATACGCTTTTCGAATAACGTCAAATACTCGTAATAATATTTCATTGGCGTTCGTCGATAGCCAAGGTGGTGAGGAAAATTGCACACGAGTCTTATCCGTATGTTTATTGTAATTATTCGATAAGATTCGATATTTTAGGCATTATACATTTTGATAAATATTTGATGTAGACTCTTTTCTGAAAGGAAATTTTCTTGGGGCGGTCAATTTTCTCAGGAGTTTTCTCATCAAATATGAAATCCAAAAAAAAAAAACTGAGGACAGACGAGAAAATGAATGAAATATATTCGTAAAATATTCAGATTTTTTTTTCTGTGGACTTTTCTACTTATTGTAATTATTACATAAAATGTGCAAATTTAACATATTATCTAAAATTAATTTTTTTTTTTTTTTTGTCTTATATTTTGAATTAATATAGCGGCGGTGGGTACGAAATTTTTGAAAATCTACAAGGGCGGCGTAGAATAAAAAAAGTCGGGAAACACTGATATATAATACAAGTGATGATATTTTTATTTTCACTCGTCGGTAAAATAGCTCATAGCCCCCAACCCCGCCACACTTAAATTCAATCAAATCTCCACCTATGCATTTGAGTGAACCGATGCAAAAGAAAAACTAATACAATTATTACCGCCACATACACCAGTATTTATTTTACGCATCTGTCTTGACGTCAGCGACGTACGCAGGGGGTAAGAGGTTAGGGGTTATATCCTAGAAGAATATATCCTTCTCTCTCATTGGCTTAAAAATTCAAAAAAAAAAATACACGTAATTTAATGTCGAAATGCATATATTTCAGTAGAGTTACGAAGATGTATTGATTAAAAATTGGTATTTTTTTTTAGGATCTGACTTTTAAATTACCGATTCTCATAGTCGATTTGTGTAGAGAAGACGATTTTGCACAAATAAGGAGGGGGGAGGGGTTGAACGACCACCAACACCCAAGACAAGTTCCTTATATCAAGTCTTTATCGAGTGAATATTATAAGTGAACATAATCAATATTATGGGGTCTAAAGCTCCACCCCCTCAGAAAAAAAAAAATGTCGGGTTATTTTAAAATAACAATAATGATATCGTTACTGATAAATATTTCCAACCGTCCGCACACAATAAACATTAAAAACCATTGATTATTTGAAGTTCAAATTCATTTTTTCTTTTTAATGTTCCATACGAACGTATTAAAAAACGGTTTCCCTATACAGAAGTCAATAATATAAGTTTCGATAGAGTACTTGTCTGTACATGACGTGTGGAAGTAGAATAGCTACCGGAGTATAATTTATTGTTCGTAAACGGCGTTCGTCTGCGATTTTCGTTGCAATGGTTACCGCCGTACCGTTGTTGATATTATTAAATAAAAATGGAAGCAATGTAAAGAAAAAAAAAAACGCCTAATCTCTGCAAAATATTTATAACGCTGCTCCCGCTCCCAATGAGGCGCAAAACACATAACTCGTTTATTTATTCGTAATGGCAGTAGGTATGAACCGTTAGAACAACGGAATTAACCAGTGCCGCCGAATCCTATGTTAAGGCCGGGGCCTTGGCCCGACTTTCAAAAACCTAGGCATAAGGCCGTTTCATTTCGGGCCAAAGTTTGGTTGCCAAACCGAATTCGATTACAGAAATAAAAACCTACGCTAACCTTGATATTGGAAATACAACGGGCTGTGTTTAGTAATCGGGACCTCTTGAAATGTATTTCGCCCGGCTACATTTTTAGGACTTCAGCGACATTGAAAAAAACGGCGTGTACATGTCGTACATAACCGGAAAACGACAAATAGAAATTGGCCATTCTCACTGCGAAAAATTTAATCCTTGCTTACGTTTTTAAAATATTATATAGTTTTGATATTTATAATTCAGAATTTTCGTGCAGTGTATAGAAAAATAAATGAAAAGAAAAAACTGCTAGACCGGAACAATTTGCACAAGTTTCACTCGGTTCGCGGTTCCGGTCCCAGATTCGTAATATTGTATCTTTAAATTATTATAATTTTTATCGTCCGTTAGTTTTCGACAGTACGAGTTCGGTTTTAAATTCTCGCGAATTTACAATACCTAATCAAATTGGGAAACCGGTCGCAATATGACGTCCGATTGTTGTGAAAATAATAAGCCCGGTTACGTTTTTCATTCCAGTGCAATAATTGCTTTTTAGAAGATCAATGCAATAACAAAGGCAAGTACTCGGCAGTAGGTCAAGAATTGGACACGCATAGGAAAAAGACCTTCCAGATATTGACAATATTTCAATCGATTTTTAACACAATATTATATTTTATCATGGAGCACCTAACTATATATTAAAATCATTTAACGCATGATTGTTCATGCAAACATTTTTTTTTACATTGCAATCGGATGAACCGTGATTACTAATAAAACAAATTATAACATGTTAACTTAAAGCGGTAACATATATCCCCTTTAGGAAATTGGTACACTCGAAATGATATTCTATGCTGTTTATTAAAAAATAATTTCTGTGTACGAGTGCAAAGTATTAATAACCTAATAATGCACAATTCACTTTTAATTTCTGACCATAAACAATATTAAATGGTTTTTTGATTAATGAATTGAAAACAATTTTCTGGATAATTAAAATTGATCAGACATAAACTTTTATTATTACTCATATAAGTATTATAAGTTACATAACATATTTTTTATTTCAGTACACCTATTTCATTAGTTAATAATATTCAAACAATATAAAATAAATCAACTTATTACTGTTTTCATCAGATGTTAAGCCAAGATAAAATAATGAAATTTTCGATCAATTAGTTATTAAAATTCCAAAGTTTAAATTCTTATATTATCTTCATAATACATGAACTGAAATGGAAATTTAACCAATACAAAATATTTTTCTCTAGTCTCACATTAAAATTTATACAGATTCAGATTATTCTCTCATCATGCCAAAACAAATCTCAATCTATTTTCTCAATTTTATTTGCTATTCAAGTCGCACCTTAGCTATCTATTACATATCATATCTTTTCTCATCACTACTTATCCACCTGAACATTCTCATCTCTGTCACATTTTTGGTTCTATTTGGTTCCGGACACAACTATTAGGTTAGCTATACAATCATTTTAACAAACATAATATTATAATACAGAAGTTTTGTGTACAAGAACACTCAAATACAAACAGTATGTCAACATCACTGCATAAATATAATAGTATACTTTAATAACACACAGGAAATAAAAAAAGGTTCCAAGAAACTAGTATTTACCCAAGTTGAATAGAGAAAAATATTTTTAATGCACATTTTCAGATGAATAAAAAATCAATAATGGTAACTCAAAGTGTGTACTCAGGACATAAAAGAATCATTCAAAGTTGACATTTAATGCAATACTGTAGGTGAGAAGACCGCCAACACAAACTATTGAATATAATAACTTACTAAAGTTTGGGAAGTTAATTATTATTTGATAAGTCGTAAATATAGAAAATGTAAATTAAGTTATTTTTCTTTTTTATATAACTTATACATTACTTTTATTTTCATATAAACCTTAGCGTTATTTGAGAGGACAGTACAACCGCATGTGCTGTCTCAATTCAACCAATGGACCACACATAGGAAAACTTACACTACAAATTTTTTCAGCGTAGAATTTGCTTCATTTTAATTTATAAAACTAAAAAGACAAAACAATGAGTTTTTTTTTTAAATGTCAGTCATTTAAAATTTATTTTTAATTCTAAGCGATGTATTTAACATTATATTCAAAATAATAATTAGAATAGGAAAAACAGTCTTGCCCACTGTAATATTATAATCTGATAATTGTATAAAAGAAGTGGTTTATTCTAAAACCAAAATCAAGAGTTCTACAAAAAACGCACAAAGCAGATTTTGCTATATTGACAGTTAGTTTAACTGAAACAGCAAATGAGGATATAATAATCTTTCAGTGTCCAGCATTGATCAAATATCCATACACTGGATACAAAGGATCAATAAAGTACAATATAATCCACAGTAAGAATAGAAAGACTAAGTACAACAGACGAAACAAAAAAACAGCATTAAATTATTATTATTATTATTATTATTCTCTTTTAAATTAATTGTAATTATTATAATGTAGATAATGTCTTAAAATTATTGTATATAAGTATTCTAAAACATAAAAATGCTCATTATAATTGTTTACAAATACGTTTATACATTAAAACATTTATAGCTAGAAATTAATAACTAGCAGCAAAGTGCAAAGTATGAAAAAAAAAAAAAATAAAAAAAAAAATATATTCACTCAATAATGACATCAAAAATAGAAATTATCCTAAATTGCATGCCAAACATTTGTTGTTTTTTTTTATTTTTTTTTTAGGAATGAAAAATTATAATACTTGAGAACCAAGAGTTGCCTTGTTGTAAAAAAACAAATTACCATGAAATTCCACAAATAAATGAAAAAACACATATTAATATGTAGTCATAAATTTTAAGATAAAGAAATTTTTATGGAGGGGGAGAGGGAGGTAGGACAAATAAGTATTTTTTTTGTCAGTTAAGTAAAAAAATTATGATATAAAATGATTTTTTAAGAACTTCATCATACCAAACGTCCTAAAACGTTTAACTCCAATAACTTTCATCAAATCATCGTCACAAATAGCATACTGTTTGTTAGTTGGGTCCTATAATTATAAAAATAAATAATTAATTATTTAAAAAGTAATAAAAATAATCGTGTAACTTACATAAAGATTTCTCTCTTTGATAATGGCCCACATTTTTTTAACGACTTCATGGCGAGGCAATGCTTCGGTTCCCATAAGAGAAGCTAGTTCAGGACTAAGTGTAATTGACTTTGTGTAGCCACTGTTAGCTCCACGTTTTGCCTGTACAAATTAAGTACAATTGAATATTAAATTCAAAGATTTAGCTATTAATAATACATACACCACCAGCTTTCTTTGCTCCTTTTTTGGCACTTTTCCATTCTTCATCACTATCACTATCGTCCTTCTTCTTACGTCCACGTTTAGCGGCAGGAGCCTTCTTTTTTGAGGGTGTGCCTTTTTTAGGACTGTAATCACCATCGTTTTTATCGCCATCATCCTACAACATATAACCAAAATAGTTATATTATTAATTAATACCGATATTAAAAAAATGTAAACTACTTACATCATCAGACCCTGCACTTTCATCACTGGAGTCAGCCTTCTTACGTTTAGGTGGGGCTGCTTTTTTGGCGGGCTTTACTTCTTCTTCTTCATCCTCTTCATCATCATCATCGTTTTCTGCATCATCTTCATCATCATCATTATCATCATCACTATCACCTTTACCATTCTTCTTTGTAGCTTTAGCTTTTTTTATTCCTTCCATTACCAATGCGTCAATTTCCTTTTTCCTATACAATTCAGAAATAAAAAAAATTATAGTTTATAATAACATAAGTTATTGATGAAAGAATAAAACCTGTCATCAAGATCTGCATCTAATTTCTTTTCGAGTTCCTGTCTTATTTTCTTTGCAGAAGTTTTTGACAAATCTGCTCCTTTAAGAAGAGCTAAACAAAAAATTATAGGTATTTAAAAAAAAAAAAAAAATGTAGATAACTGCTAATCACTGATAAAAATCACATGTAATACTACAAGTAGGTAATAAATACTAACATTTTTTATAGAAACCTCTTTTAATACATAGTAAGCATTTAGATTATATCATAAATTTAAGTAACAAAATAATACAAATCACAATATTCAATTGTGTGTTAAGTTAACACTAAATGCATTAATTTTTAATTTATGCGAGTTTTCAATAGTTCGATATAATATTATATTAAAATCTACAATCAATTCAAAATTTGCAAATTAATTTGTATTCATTTTATTTATATACGATTTATGACATGTAAGTAAGAAACTCCAATATATTTAAAAATGAATTAATAAAATGGTCAATATGAATATAAATTTATTTAAATATTTTATATATTAAAATTAAATTATTGTCCAAGCAATAAATCTTTTCTTAACCCAATTTATTTTTTAGTTTATTAAATTTATATAGAAATATTATAGTTATGAAAATTGAAAGACAGCAAAATTAAGTCTACATAAATATTCTATTTTTTACATAGGTACTTATGACCGTGAGTATAATTAAGAGGATGTGATATCAATATTTACCGTCTCGGTGCAACTAACAAGGAACATTTCAAATGCATGCTTACACAGCCCCGAGTAAAACTCACATTTTAGAGTTTAACACCTATTATAAAACTATGTGGATGATATTTTTGATGGCACCACGGCATACATATTTGCACCATTCAGAATATAACGTTCAGTTACATCATTAACAAATAACAACATTTTCATTGTTTTAAAATCACCATTAACTTTACAAAAATTCATTAAAAATAATAATAATAATAATATTGCGCTTATTTATTTTATAATAAGTGCTTTTACTTTACAACCATAATTTTTTCATTTTAATTAGAACAAGGGTTCTATTCAGTTTGCATAAGAGCGCGTATTTTCTATGTTTCTTGTTAATCGAAATGAAACAGCGGGTAAGAAGTCCTCTTAAAAAAGATGGACCCAAACTAACCATACTTTACTAATAAACCTGCAAATATTTTTATTTTGAGAAATTCAAATTTCTTTGGATTCTAGGCCATAAAAAAAAAATAAGTAATCAAGATAATAAAACAGTTACAGGCCGTACTCTAAAGTATGAATAAACAGTATATAAGTCAATTATACAGGAAAGAAAATTGATAGTTTCGTTTGAGTAACAGCTGCAGGGCTAAATAAATTTCAAAAAACAAAATAAACGTTTTCCGTTGCCTTTAAACATTGAAAAGCCCTAGTGTTTGTCATCGTTCGGTCAGAACACGCCAGTTAAAATATTAATACGCCATTGCAAGTAAGTAAGTATTGGACATTTAACTATACAAATATTTTAAAAAAAAAAATTGTCTGAACACGGCATGACGGAAACGAATGTGAATCAATGTGGATGCGTAACCGAGGGAGAGCGAAGGGCCGATAGTGTAAAAATCTAAAATGACGGTAATAATTATAAGACAATTTTTTTTTTTTTTCTGCAATTCCATTGTGTCTGTTGTCGTCCGGACGGAAAACAGCTTGGAAAAATAATGGCGCTGAACGACGCCGGCGCGGCCGCCGTCGTGGAAAGGAATATATTATTATAATATCGTCGTGGAACAGGAACAAGAGCGACGCCGGTATTTTTTTTTTTTTTTTTTGGACGCCGCTTTTGTTTACGACGCGACTGACGGCAGAGCGCCATCTAGACGAGCGACCAGCGACGACGGCGGCGGACGTCATATTACATACTATCCCGCACCAAACGGAAAGCCGTAAAATCGACCGACCGACCGACGGACGGACGGACGGAAAAACGTCGAAAAAATGTCGGAGACGGCCGCGGGAGACCGGCAAAAACCGCCGAACGGACGCGAAATAACAATGCGACGATAAACGACGTCGGCCATTATAGCGTGAGAAACGCGGGTTCGCGGATTTCACACGGCGGCGCGGCATTTTGAATAATACACGGATAGCGCAGGGCCGCGGGGGAACGCAGGGGGACCGCGTTTTTTCAGCGGCCGCGGCCCACAGGGTTCGCGCGACCGGGCGAATTGCGCGCAGTGATACAATATTAATGTTTTTCAGCCATGTTTTTCGGAACGACCCGACAACCGGGAATACCGGTGTCGAGGCGCGTCGAGGAAAAATAATATCACGACGGTACGAAAAAAATACACGGACAATGGTTAACGCGCGTTGCCGACGGATATTAAAATTATAACGTTATTGTAATAATTACCGGCGATCTCTTTCTTAAGAGTTTCCTTGGACACGTCGGACATGGTTGACGTTTTCGATTAGTATACAAGAACTGTGCGTGAAACTACGTTTCTGTGAACGTAAACGAAACGAATAGAAAATGCGACTGGCGTACGGTTCAGTGGTCGGCAGTTCAGCAGCTCTTCAGGACCGGGCGGTTTGACGGCGGCGGCGCTAAATTTTCGACGGCGAAGTGAGACAGTACGAGTACGACGGTGGACGTAATGACCGTCGACGGTGTGTGTGGTGTGCAGCGGTAGTGATCGACGAGGGGAGCGGCGGCGGGCGAACGTTAGATAGACAACGATGCCGCGGCTACGCGCGGTGGCGGGGCGCGGGCCGAGAAAACGGTAATCGCGACGTTGCCATGTGCGGCCGACCGTCAGGACCGCGCGCTCCGAGGACGCGCTACGCGACGCCGGCGATCCGGCAACGCAGCGTCCGGCCATTCCGTTTTGCCGCCGAACCGTTGGCGACCCGCCGACCGCGCGAAAAAACGGGCCCGACCGTACGGACCCCGCGGGTTCCCGGCGGGATTTTCGTCAAATTTCGTATTTCGTCCGCTTGAGCCGTTCGGAGGGCCCGCGAAAATGCCGGTAGACCGCCAGTGCGGCTTTCCGTTCTAACGCCGCTCTCGGTCACACTGTCGCGGCGTTGCGGGGCCGCCGTAACCGTCGTTTTTGATAAGCCTCGACGGCAAAACAATAAAATACGAGTTTCTCCCCACCGCGATCCGCCGTCACTGTGCCGTTCGCGCGTTTTTTTTTTTTCTCGTTTCCATTTTCTAACCGCTCAACGGAAAACCGTCCCCCCGTCGTCGGTCACGATACCTGAACGTGGTAACCGCAAGACCGCGGAATCCGATAAACAATAAAGTGAATTCGAATTTCAAACGACGTCGAAAAGAACACGGGGTAGGACTATAACCCCCGCGGAGGAAAAAAAAAATTGTTCAATAATCCTCACATAACGACTTTTCAACCGATTTGTTTTCGGTCGTTTTTATCATTTGAACAAATGAAACGTCATTTTGTTATTACGCGATTCTGTACACCATTTAGCGGGTACAACGTTATGACGGCGGTTTGAAATCAAAAACCCGTCGTTATCGTACGGGCACTCAAAACCGGTTGAAAAACGTCAGACCGTTACCGAAATTGAAACGCCGGCGCCGGACGGTTTAAGAGATTAAACGCGACCGTAATGCAAAACGTGTGTTTTTGTTGAAACCCAATCGAACGTTATCGGGTTTAGGTTTTTTTTTTTTTTTTCTTTCCGCGTAAACGTTCGTAAACCATTCGGCTGGTGCGCATACGCGCGGGCGCGTTGTCCCAGTTAATAATTGAATCGCGTTTTCCGGTCGTCCCGCGCGTATTCGTGGAGTTTAGCCGACCGGTATAGTTGCCAAATCGTTATTAATTGCGGGCGTTGTCGGTCTACGATCTCGCGATCGGCGCAGAAGAACCGGTGAACCGTCACGGTTTTCAAACCGCGAATCGTCGACGATAACAACGCGTACGACGAGCGCGCGAAATACCGTCCGCGACAAACACGGTTTCGGATCGCGGACATTGTCGGTACTTACAGCGTCCACCGGGTCCGTGTCGGTCTCCCGGCCCGGGACCCGCGGGCGCGCGCCGGAAAACGAACGGTTTTCCCAATCGGTTCGCGAAACGCTCGCGCTTGGCCGGCGCGGCGAGCGCGTGTCGCCCGGCAGGCGGAGGCATTCGGCCGCGAACCGCGTTCGAACGGATTCCGGAGCGTGCGGTTTCGTTCCGAGCCGTTCCGACGCCGTCCGGACAAACGCGCACCACGCCGCGCAATAACGACAACGGTTTTAATTCCAATTCTATTGGGTTCTGATCGGCGCGTACCGTTCGACACACGCGACGTTGCGCGACACGTTCGGCGTGCCTGCGGTTCTCGATTCGCTCCGCGAGTCGCCTTTTGACGCCGTGGCGAAAACGACGGCTGAACGAAACGTTTTGCGCGCCGGACGGGTGTGCAAATCGATCGTTTCAATGCGGATCGTGCGTTGTTTTTTTTTTTTTTTTTCCGTAATTTCCCGCGCGCCGTTCGCAAAACAAATTGTTATTACCGTCCGCGGACCGCCATCACGCGGCACAATCCGGGGAGCTGGGGGTATCCAGTTGTTGGTTGTTTTTTTTTTTTTTTGCTATTCTCATTCCATTTGTTCGGATTCCGAGCGAACCGTCGTGTAACGGTCTTACAGCGGCGTGGTGTTTTCGGGGAAAAAAAAAAAACACTCGCGCAACGATTGATCGCTGCATACGGTTTACGCGCTAAATTACCCCGCGATCCTACGCTGCCGTCACAACTACTGTCCGCCTGCGACAGTGGCCTACCCATATTTCTAATTCTGTTTTTTTTTTTGCTATTTTTCCGGCCACTGTGATCGGGCAGACGATATAGTCCGGAAACGTCGATGCTGCCGCGCGTCAATCCGACGTAGCCGTTTTGTGTGAAAAGAGAGGGTGGGGTAGGAAACCGTTATCGTCAACAGCAATATTGTTTTATCCATTTTTCGGTTCGGTTTTAATTCTTTATTTGAGTTTGGCGGCCACCTGTTGACAAGCCACGCGCGCTGTAAACAACAACAGGTCACACACCCACCGAACCTCAGGGGTACCTGCACCATTCGACATTCTAGAGAGAGACAAAAAAAAAAAAAAAAACCGATCATAAATCCGGAATACATCGTCCTCCGGTAGCGCGGGTAAGCGTGAAAACCTGGAGCGCACCTGGAGCCGCAGGAGAGTACGAATCTGGGCGTCCCGGGGTTTCAACGGGTTTTTACCTGTTCTAATACCCGTTTTCATAAAACCAATAGTCGTCTGTAGACAACAGTATTCGAAAACAATTATTGTAAAAACGCGTGCAAAAAATGAATAACAATTGCCGTAGTTGGTCGCGCAGTTTTATTATACGGCCGGGGGAAGATTTCTCTGTGACGTGGTGTTACACATCAGAATTGGACCAACGGCGAAATATCTGAAACTGATGCGCCAATAATGTTATCGATAACGGGAGATTACCGAAAATAAGACGATTTCCGTACGGATTATCGTTTCAACGGTACCCGACAATCTCGAGTTATCACGTTGAACTTGGCCGATTAGTCGTCGTTATACCGTCCGTTGGTTTACCGGTGCGCGTCACGTAGTGAAGATTAACGGCCCCAATTACTTTTGCGCGTCATTCAGAGACCACCGGGTTCTTTTCGCCGAATTCTCGGCCTCAACAATCGTTTTTGAAACTAGAACCACGTACGTCCGGTTTTCGTACACAATTGCGGTTTCACGTCCGCCGTATTTCGGTCTGGGTATTTTTCCCGCGGGAGTGACGCCTCGACGAATCTCGTTCAAAGTGCCCGGAGTTATCCGTCGTGCCGTTTGGTCGCATATAGCGATAGCCGCACGCCGTTTGAAAATATTTCTATTCCGCCGTCGATTGCAATTGTCCGCTCGCTTGTATTCAACAGAAAGTAGAATGGGTCTATTGCCGGTGTGCGCATGTGTCGTTGTTATTCGGCCGCACACGAAATCCCGGGTTGTAGCACCTACGGCTCAGAGTGCACCTTACCGGCATTTGGCTTTTGTAAAAGATTTAATGAGATATCGGTCTGTCAGTTGATCAAAGTATACGTGAAATTACGATTAAAAAAAAATGCGCGGCCATTCGTGATACCTATCGCCAGAGTCGGTTGCGTTATCGTTTTTCGGTTTACGTGCCTACCGGTTTCATACGACCGTTCTCGTCCGGAAAACAGTGTGAAAAATTTGGCGGCCGGATAGGGGAATCGAACCCGAGTCTCTCGCTCACGATTGCTCGACCACCGCCGAGCTACTCGCCGCCGACTTCTGACGCTGTTTCCACTGGACTTGACGTGCCGGGTGTGGGCTGGTTGGTGAAGCAGCCGTGTCTATGGTCGAGGGGACGATGCGGCGCGCGGGGACAGTGTGACGTGGAAACAGAAACAAAAATTATAGCAGCTCTCAAGACAGACGCGGAAAAAGATACTAAACACCGCCGATACGTTTTGAACTCAAAATAGTCTACCGAAATATTAAAATAAAAGCCATGCAGGTTTCATTTGTACGAGCTCAATGCAATTTATTGAACGTTTTAAAATGAACACTGACTTTCTTGACGATTGACCACCTATCAAAGTTATAACCGTTACCGCACTGATGCGATAATGACGAAAACTTTCGAAAATCTATAATCATCGTTGTCTCTGACATAATTAAAGGCAATGGTATAGCTGAAAAAGGAGCTAAACTTTTAGTGGGATATAACCGAAAAATTACCCGTGATGCAAACCGAAAATAATATTTACTCCAAGTCGTTACCTACTCTAAGAATAGCAATATTTGAGAGAAATAGGTTTGAAAAATATGAATTTATGTATATAGAGTATGTCAGATGTACGTATGGAGACATTGAGTTACAAATGGGCATTAATTAAACTATACGTTTTTTTTTTTTTTTTTAATTATTTCAAATAACGCAAAATGTTCTTTCAAACAAATTATATTTTGATACAGTTATTATCATTTGTGTCATGCTTGAAAAACATAAAAAACTATGTTATTTTCTATAAAAAAAAAAAAAAAAAAAATAGGAGTACGTAACTTTAACATTTCCGTGGCACAGGTTTATTATGTCCGATTCACAGAAAATTGTGTAAATACTCATTTTTCAGTATTCGTTTTTGAAAATATTCAAAACGATTTTGGTTGTATAATTAATAAATTCCCAACGTTCAGTTCGAAGGACCATTCTATTACACATGCTCGCACTTTTCGATAAAAAACGATTTTTATAAGCGAGGATTGTGTCATGTTCAAAAATATACTTGTACGCTGACGTCCAACTAATATTACGGCTTGTGTAGTTGTCGAGACTGAGTAATAAAAATGATTACGACGGTGTCGACGTAATAATCGATCGAAGTAAGCTATTACAACATTTTCAACGGTAATTTTCGTTCTTGACTTCTATTTTTTTTTTTTTGATAAAAGGAATTGTATTATTATTTTTTTGATAGACGCCCAGAAAAACAAATCATTAGATAGGTACTCGAAGTTGGTAACCACGTCGGCTGAGACGAGTGCGTATAGATAAGTCTACCAGTCTTAACAAAATGTGTAAACACGATATTAATATTGTGTTATAATTATGCGCGTTGTAATATTGTAATATTTAATCTCAATGCGCTGTCGCCGGGTTTACAATTTTTATACTACATGAAAAAAGATCAAAATATAAAAAAAA